TCTGCCCCACAGCTGCGCTCTCCCACAGCGCCTACCCCTCTCTGGAGCCAAGCACCAACCGTTACAAGAAGCTGGAGAAAGTATACAGCGACTTTATCGTACTCACCTTCGACGGTATCAACGGCGAAAAATATACCCTCACCTTCATCGACGCCTACTCGCGCCATGTGTGGGTCGCCAACGTCGACTCCCGCTCCAAGGCTCCGGAAGTGTTCCGCATCTTCCTCGCGCACGCGCAACGACAGTCAGGAAGGAAGCTGAAGATCTGGCAGAGTGACGGGGCCAAGGAATTTCGCAGCAACGAGCTGGAGAGTGTTCTTACCAAGAAGGGGATCAAGCATGAGATTTCTCTCCCCTACGCTCACCAGCAGCAAGGCGTCGCAGAGAGGGTTAACTCACCCTCATGACAAAAGTGCGCGCCCTCATGAACCAGTCCGGCCTGCCGAAGAAGTTCTGGCCCTACGCCATGAACCACGCGGTGCGCCTGCACAACCTCCTCTCCACCACTGCCAACAGAGACAACCTGTCCCCTCACATGAAGTGGACTGGCTCAAGGGGAGACCCTTCCATGCTGAGGGTCTGGGGGTGTATGGTGCAGTACCGTCCTACATCGGCCACCATCGGCAAGTTCGCTCACCGCGCGCTCTGGGGGGTTCATTTGGGTCTCAGTAACGAACACAAGGGCTGGCTCATCCTCGACATGGATAGCAAGGAGGTTGTTCTCGCGCGTGACACTCTCTTCTACGAGCGGCTCACCTTGAAGCAATGGATCGAGGACGAGCGGCGGAACGAGGCACGCGGCTACGTCAACAGCGGTCGCAGCTTTGCGACTCCAGAGGACGAGGCAGCAGCAGCAGCACTGGACCGCGACGACACCGACGAACACCCCAGCATCCCGCCTCGCCCGCGCGACGACGACGACGATGACAATGACGACGATCCCGCGCTAGGTCCGTCACGGCGCCAAGCAGAGGCAAGCACCACAACGCCCGGCTACGAAAGCGGAGACGATGACGTGGTGGAAGTTCCCACCAACACATGCACCACCAATGTGTCCGACCTGCAACTACTCGGCCTGCACACGTCCGTCACTACCCTCGCACGGGCCGTGGAGCCAAAGAATCCTCGCCAGGCCCTGACCGGCCCGCACGCCAAGGAGTGGCGTACAGCGATGGATGCGGAGCTGAAAGCGCTGGAATCTCGAGACACGTGGGTCCTAGTCGATCGTGCAGCAGTGAAGGGGAGGAGGGTACTCAACGGAAAATGGGTCTGTCGCCTGAAGACTAACGCTGACGGCACCATCGAGCGATTCAAGGCACGCTGGGTCGTACGTGGGTACGATCAGCGCCACGGCATCGACTTCGATCAGACCTTCGCTCCCGTCAGTCGTCACACCTCCGTCAGGATCCTACTCGCCATTGCCGCCGCTAAGCACCTGCCACTGCGACAGATCGACGTGAAGAACGCGTTCTTATACGCGTTGGTGGATGCTACCATCTTCGTGGAGCAGCCTCACACCTACGGAGAAGGGGATCCTAGGGTCTGTCAGCTGAAGAAGTCCCTCTACGGGATCAAGCAGGCGCCTCGTCTCTGGCAGCAGCATCTGCACAAAATTCTCCTAGAGATCGGCTTCAAGCAACTGCCGCACGACCCGGGAATGTATCGCCTTCACTTCAGCGGCGATTACATCCTTCTGACAGTCTACGTCGACGACTTGCTGTATACGGGCACCTGCAACAAACTACTTAGCCAGTTTGAGGAGAACCCTGCGCAGCGCGTGGATATCACAATCAACCACAACGTGAAGCAGTTTTTGGGGCTGAACATCACCTACGTGCCAGAAGCAATTCACCTGTCAGCCTCCAAGTACGCAGAGCAGCTTGGGGAACGCTTCAACATCTCACCCGCACCACTCTCAACTCCCTACCGCAATCCCAGCGCCAACTACAAACCGGACAACAAACCTCTGTCACCCGCAGGGCTCCAAATGTACCAGCAGTGTCAGAATGTGATGTGTGTGTAGCCTGCAGTGGGGTACTCTGTAGCGAGTACAGCCCGAATTAGGGTTTGCTATATGTACTCTACTGCATGCTAGTGAAAACCCCTCTTTCGTGTTTATCATTCCTGCCTATACTTCTGACATGGTTTCAGAGCAGGTCGATCCCCTTGGGTCGATCCTGTGGGTGGGCCCGCCACCTAACTGCTTCCGCTGCTGTTCTGCTTCTCGCGCGCCTCGGGCGCGCGCCGTCTTCTTCCTGCCGTGCGCTCGGGGCGCGCGGCGGTTTTCTGCCCGCCGTGCGCCCCGAGGCGCGCGGCGGTTTTCTACACGGTGGATCCGCGCGCGCCCCCCCCGCCATCCCGTCGCCATTCGTGGCGCCCTCTCCCGTCGCCCGTCGTGGCGTCGCGGGGGCCGCGCGTCCCCCCCATCCCGTCGCCCGTCGAGGCGCCTAGGGGGCCGCGCGTCCCCCCCCTTCTGTCCCCCGTCGTGGCGCCACGGGGGCCGCGCGTCCCCCCCCCCCCCGTTCGCGTCGTCACGTCGCGACGCTCTGGGGAGCCGCGCGCGGCCCCCGATTCCCCGTCGCGCTGCCCTGAGGAGCCGCGCGCGACCCCCCGCTGCCCCGTCGCGCCGCCCTGGGGAGCCGCGCGCGGCCCCCTGCTGCCCCGTGGTGGCGCCCTGGGGGCCGCGCGCCGTCCCCCCCGCCGTCCCCCGCGCTCCTACCCCTTGCAACCCGTTTTAGGGTTTGGGGGTGAGGAGTGTGGGGGTGGCGGTTGTGGGGGTGCCCGTTGTGTGCGCCGTCCCCTACTCCTCCTCCTCCTCCGTCTCCCGCTGCTGCAGCTGCCGCTCAGGGGGGTGTGTGTGTGGGGAGCCGAAGGAGTGGTGCTAGGGGGGTGAAGGGGGAGTGGAGCTAGGGGCGCAGCAGTGGGTGTGTGAAAGGGGTGTGGGACAGTTGGGGGAGGTTGACAGGAGGTGGCCGTTGCGACGTCTGCAGCGCCAGTAGTCCGGGGGTTGAGTACTCCGGTAGCCCAGCGAGCCTGCTGCTGCCAGTCGCCCGTGGGTCTGTTGCTCCTGCTGCTGCTTAGCGCGGAGCCAGTTACTCCTGTAGTCCGGAGGTTGAGTGCTCCGGTAGCCACCGTGTGCGCCGTTCCTGTTGCCCGTGTGTCTACGGCTTCACCCGTCGCCTTCTATCTTCACTCCTCTCACAGTCTCTCCTCCTCCTCACTTGCCCTCTGTGACTGACTCTAGCTTTGCTTATCATTGTGAACTATTGCTCTATGACTGCTTGTTGTGTTGATTGTACCCCACTTTGACTATGGGGGTGTGTCAGAATGTGATGTGTGTGTAGCCTGCAGTGGGGTACTCTGTAGCGAGTACAGCCCGAATTAGGGTTTGCTATATGTACTCTACTGCATGCTAGTGAAAACCCCTCTTTCGTGTTTATCATTCCTGCCTATACTTCTGACAAGCAGAAGTTGGGGTGCCTGCTATTCGCCTCTGTCACCTGCCGACCCGACCTTTCGTACATCGCCAGCCAACTGGCACAGTATTCCCGCAAGCCAGTAGCTGAAAACCAGCTGGACCTGGAGCGCGCCCTGCAGTACTTCATCTCCACACCTGACATTGGGCTCTCCTACTTCACGCTGACGACGACCTCCTTCAACCTCAACGGCTACGTGGACGCAGATCATGCAGCCGACCCTGAAAATCGACGGTCCCGAACCGGCTTCGTCTTTCGCTTGGAACCAACTGGGCCAATCTCCTGGAACTCGCAGAAGCAGGAGCTGGTTGCCCTGACATCGGCTGAAGCAGAATACATCGCCGCGACAGCAGCAGTTCGCGAAGGCCTGTACCTGCAGGAGCTGCTACAGGAAGCGAAAATCCCAACTTCGCCCACTTTTCGCCTGCACTGCGACAACCAGAGCGCCATCAGGATCGCGAACAAGCCAGGTTTCGTGAACCGCACGAAGCACATCGCACTTCGGTACTTTTTCGTCAAGGACGAAATTGACCAGGGAAAAGTTGACCTCGCCTACTGCCCGACTACTGAGATGGCAGCAGACTTCCTCACCAAGCGCCTGCCACGTCAGCAGTACAAGCACTGCTCAGACCTCACCGGAGTAGTCAAGCGAGTCAGCTCCTCCCGCGCCCAGGAATGAAGGGGAGTGTTACGATATGAAATTACATGAGTAGGCATTCCTGTATGCTGCAGGAGCCGACTCTACCGAGTACGAAGTCGAGGAGTCAGAAGAGTCGAAGCGACGCAGCAACCGTCTGACCAAGACCGATGCAGGCAGAAACATTTGAAGTGAAAAGAGCGGGAACAGGTTTGAAACGGGTTCCCGCGCCGCACGGTTTGAATTTCGCTGCAATAAGGGAATGTACCCCTTAGAGTACATGGTTAGTCTAGGTCTTTTCGTATTCCCTTGTATTCTTATATAAACCCGATGTATGCATGCTTTTATCAACTCAGTCATTTACATTCACTCTGACCTGGGATTCAAACTTCCGCTGCAACACTACTCTGCGATCAACCCTGAGCGATCCTTCGCTAAGTCCCACTTGGGATTGTAACACAACCTAACGGTTCGGTTGGTAACCCGCGCTCCGGACCTCTGCCTCGACAACTTCCCAAACCTCGGCGCTAGGCCCGTAGCGCACCCCAATTTCCCGCATTACCGTTACCATGCTAGCTTCGCTATATAACTTCGCTCATGCTTTTCGCTCAACTGTATTGTTTGCTTCGATAGTGCAATTCTCACTCGCTCGCTCAATTGCACTCGTAACAATATGCCTGACTTCCTGACCTCTAAATAGAAGAAAAGAAATTGGGCAGAGCAGGTTGGCAGTTTGCCTGCCTGAAAAGATTCTGACAAGTTATTTGCCAGAATACAATCACTACTGGTACATGATGGTTGTGAAGTGGCCTTATTGGCCAACCTAAAGCACTAACGACGCATAAGCTACACGCGGAAGGTAGTAATCCTTCCGCTCCCTAAAAGTATCATAATTTAGTGCTCTCCGCGCTCGGTGCAGAGGCGGGGACAGATTTGTAGTAGGAGGGACAGACTGCTGGGAAGAAGACTCGCCTTACTCCCTCCGCCTTGATTATTGGCACTATCAGCTGAACGGCTCCCTGCAGGCACAGCCATTACCACAAGCAGAGGGGAGGGGGGGAGGTGGAGAGAGAGAGGGGGGAGCTTAGGTCATAACACAGCAAAGCTTCAGCTGATCGCATGGACGCATCGCAGGTGCACACATGAGGGTCATGGGCCGCAGCATCGAATTACATTTCACGAGCTGCAGGACCTGCCTGGTTCGTCCCGAACCTAACGCGCACTAGCATCCGTACCTGTATCAAGCGTGCGCCGAGCCAGACACGGCCGGGCTTGGGGAGGGGGAGGAGGAGGCGGGCGAGGGCAAAGAAGGCGACGGCGAAGAAGTGCAGCACGAGGCTCAGCGGCTGCGGGTTGAGCCCTGAGAGCAGCGAGATGGGGCCCTCTGAACACGCCCCTCCCAGCTGCAGGTAGTCAAAACACGCCTGCATGGGGCGGAAGAAACAGAGGTTGGGGAGCAGGGGTGTGGGGATGGGAGGGGTGGAGATTAGAGAGTGCTGTGAATTTGGTGGGCTGGCATTAATGCTGCTGATTGAGTGGGTATGGTGCAGGGAGGTGGCGGGCGAGTGGCAGGGAGCTGTGGCGGCAGCAGAAGACATGGGTAACAGTAACGTGGCAGCGAGTAGTGGCAGAGGAGGGTGCGGGTAGGGGAATGCGTGGCAACAGCAGTGGAGGGCGTGGGAGGGGAGGTGGGGAAGGGAGGGGGGGCTTACCTGGCGCATGGCCATCATGGCCTCGTCCTTGGAGGCACAGAAGACTCTGTAGAGCGCGATGGAGAGCGTGTTGATGGTCGCTGCTATGGGCTGCATGGCACACGTGGGGCGCACACAGGGCACATGGGGTGTAAGGCACAGGGAATATTGTGTTAGCACTAGCTTAGTGGGTTGTGGGCACGAGAAGCTGTTAGCACGAGCAAGAATCAGCTACGCGCTTGGCGCTTCCATACCACGCACCATCGCATGCTGACGACAACACATTCCATCACACACAGCCTGAAATGAAACCATCCGAGCCACTGAGACAACAACACGCTGACGCACACGGACAAACTGCACAGACGCGCGGACGCACCTTGCGGCGCGTGTAGAATGCCTCGGCGTATTCACAGACCGCCCGCGTGTTGCGGAAGTCCTTGAGTGGCCGAAGGATCTGAGTCAGCACTGACACGTCAGACAGAGCCACTGTCATGCCGCCACCTGTCATTGCGGGGAATCAGGCAAGCACACAGAGACAAGCAGTGCGGCAGAGGGGGACGAGGGCACGGGAGTCAGTGGGACGCAATTGCGTGGCGCCAGGACGTGTGAGAGCACATGTGAGAGCGGGTGGCGCGTGTTTTCTGAGAGCAGCATGCGATAGAGAGGGCGCGGAATGAACGTACCTGTGAGCGGGTGCCGCATGTTGAATGCGTCGCCCATGAGCAGCGCGCCGGGGCGGGTGACGGGGACAGCTGGCATGATGCGATTGGGCATGCAGCGGATGTCGCCCGCGCGCACCGCCTCTCGGAACGGCCCTTGTAGCTGCTTCGGTAGCTGGGAGGTGGAGGGAAGAGGAGGCGGGAGGAGGGGGGGGGAGGAGAGTGAGAACAACCTGAGCTGCATGTGGATGCTGAGCGAGGCACGGGAGGGAGAGACGCATCAGCCGGGAGGATCGGCGCGAAATAAGCTGCATTGTGCGAGAGCAACGCGCGCAGCAGGGGAGAAGAGGGGAGGGGAGGGGCGGGGAGGGGAGGGGCATGTGGAGTGTACCTGCGGGAGGACGGCGGAGAGGAGGTAGTCCGCCATGTCCCCCGAGGCGATGGAGGGCACTTTGGTGCCGGCGGGGATGTCGACGAGGCAGCGCACCTCCGTGCTGCTGACCGGGTAGAAGAGCACGGGCGACGGGTCCGCCAGTACCACGTGCCCGTAGTTGGGGTGCGGCAAGGGGCAGTCGCGCAGCAGCAGCCCCACGAACGACGACGGCACGTCCACCTGCCAGTGGGGAATGGAAAGGGGGGAAGTGCCGACAACGGGAGAGAGGAGGATTTAGCTAGGAAGGGGGGGTGATGGGTCGGGAGCGCTTGGCGGAGACGCACATTGTTCGCGGAGAATTGTGGCAGGAAGCGTGTTGGGGTGGAGTGGAGAAGCGAGGGGCGAGGGATGAAGGGCGAGGGGCGAGGGGCGGGGGGGCGGGCGCACCTTGGATTTGGAGATGGAGCGGCGGAGGTTTGAGAAGCAGCCGTCGCACACGAACGTCAGCGGCGCCAGCATCTCGCCCTCCTCCGTCTCGCCCTTCCCGCCCAAAACGCTTGCCTCCCGCTCTTCGCCCTGCGCGCTGCCCGGCGCGCGCTTGGCGGCGCGGTAGCGCACGCCCGTGACGCGGTCGCCGTCCTCCAGCAGGCCCAGCACCGTCGCCTCTCTCAACGTCACTCTGCGCAGAACGTCGAGTGGGGCGGAAGGAGGCAGCGGAGGAAGACGCGGGAGAGGGAGAGAAAACTCAGGGGAGAAATCAGGCGTCCTGCACCTCGCAGCATCCCACCAGCGCACAAATTCCCTAGAATGACTCGCTCCGTGCCAATTGAAATGCATGCAACAGCCTCGCATGGGGCCGCAAGCCCCTCGCCCCTCGGCATGTAACCGCCTGACCTCTTGTTTCCGCTAGCAGATACCCCCCACCCTAACCTCGGCTCGATCAGCCGTAGTCCCAGCGTCATCAGCCATACTCCCAGCGTCATCAGCCATACTCCCAGCGTCATCAGCCATACTCCCAGCGTCATCAGCCATACTCCCAGCGTCATCAGCCATACTCCCAGCGTCATCAGCCTTACTCCCAGCGTCATCAGCCATACTCCCAGCGTCATCAGCCTTACTCCCAGCGTCATCAGCCTTACTCCCAGCGTCATCAGCCTTACTCCCAGCGTCATCAGGCACAGCCCTGGCCTCTTTAACCGTAGCGCCGGCCGGATCCCAGTCCCCTACTCACGTGGGCAGCGACGCCGCCTTCTCGCGCAGGCGCTGCACGAACCGGCCGTTGTGGAACCCCCGCCCCGCCACCTTCCACATCTCATCTCCCGCTGCGATGCCCGCCGAGTCGAGGCGGTGGCCCGCGAAGAGCATGTGCAGCTGCGCCGTGGAGAGCGTGGGGTACGACACCTTGCAATCCCCGCCGTCCATGAAGAGCGCGTAGCCGTCCACGCGCTGCGCGTCGATGCCGTCCACGCAGTCTGCGCACACACGGGCGCCACGGCGACGTGAGCAACGACAAGCGAAACACAGCGTAGAAGCACGGCTGAATCACCGCCGGGCAATGTGAGGGGAAGGGACATCGGATCTTCAAGTACCTTGCACGACCATGGACCACCTTCGTATGGCGCAATCCCATGGACTAGAACTGGGCTTGCAGTGCGACGTACCTTGCATTCCCAGCTCGAAGAGTTTAAGATAGCCGCCGGGCTGCAGCAACTCGCCCACGATCCGATCTGGCTCCGTCAGATCCCTCTCCAACACCAGCACTCGCCGACCCGTCTGCCGCACAGCACCGCACAGCATCACGTACAGGTCACATCAGGAGAGGGGAGCTTGAGAAATGCCCAAGGCTTTAGCACCAGGTGGTTATAGTTCATGCGGTTTGACGATCAGGTTAGGAAATGGGTCGCGCCTAACCTTTCCGAGGGAGTAAGCGAGCGCGCATCCCGCAATGCCTGCGCCGACCACCAGCGCGTCGTACTCCTCCCTTCCGTCGTCCCCCGTGCACATGTCGTCGCTTGTCTGCTCCGCGGCGCTGCTCTGATCTACTCGCGCATCGTGCCGCCCGGTGTCAGTTAGTCGTTCCAACGGCATTTCTTCTAGCGGCGTGGCACTAGCGAGCGCATCTCTTTGTTTGTCGCGGGAGTATTGCATCGAGATGTACGTGGCGGCTATTAGCAGAGCAAGCGTCCACGCTAGCGTGACCGTGCCGATCCCGTCCACCACGCTCCAGAACGACGCCGTCAGCGACGACATATCCGCCATTGCGCGCGGACGCCTCACGCCGTAGGATCTAGCGTTTATTCGCTAGTGCTTCACGAACGGCGTGTCCGTGAAACTGCTAGTGCTAGAAGGACATGGGTGGGAAGAGCAAAAGAATTTTGAGCATTGCATTCCACATATCACTACGGGTTCCCGAGTCACGGACCAGACAGACGAGGGCGGAAGGAGGCTGGGCTGGACGAGAGATCTGAAGTTGCCCCAATAGGGGTCTCAATCGCTGGAAGGACTGGCGGGGAATGCCTGGTTTTGCGCGCCAGCACAACCCTGAGGTTTGTGTTCAACTGGAATCGACGGTGGGGAGCAGGAGTGCCCCCACTTTGTGGCAGGTGGCTTCCTGTAAATGGTTAACAGCTGGCGGGAAACAGGGTGGTGAATCGAGGAGCGAGAGGGGAACGGGGGAAAAGTCAGACACGTAAATCCCAGGTAGATTCAGCCGCACAATGGGAGCCAATGCCATCGATGGACTGCGGCACGTGTGGAGCACAAGGAAATAATCGAACCTTCTGAACTCATTGAAGCCAATGGTTCAAGAACGCGTTTCTTCTTTCTGCTGCAATTATTACAGAAAACTCAAGCAACTAATGGCTGCCCGTTTGTGTCAACTATTTGCGACGAAATTGTACTTGACTTCTGGTTGGCGCTAAACTAATCAGGTCTGATGCAAAAGGGCATACGAGAACTTATAGTTGGACGATGGACAGGACGGTCAAGGAATGCAGTGAGGCGCATTTTAGCGGGGATATGTTGCGGCTGGGAGAAGTTTGGGTTTGACGCGAGCAGGACGCGTTCAGTGCTGCAAATATGGACGCGTCAACTTTGTTCGATCCCAGCACCGATCCTACGCAGGGTCGTTCTATAGCGGGGAAAATAACGAAAAAGCGGGGATAAAAAAAGCAAAACCATTCGTTTTTTTCCCTTTTCTTCCCCGCTAAAGAACGACCCTGCGTAGGATCGGTGCAGGGATCGAACAAAGGTGACGCGTCCTAAGTGGATAGGTCTGCGAAATCCAATCCACAAGCTCACACTCGAATAAAGTCACGTTTTATGCTTTCGATATATTTTCTGTGGCTCCTCAGGCTTCTGGTCCTTCCCCTTGTGTGCTGCCGAGTTGGACCATCGTGATTACTGAAAGCTCCAATGGCGGCAGCACCAGAGCACGTGGACGGCGTGTATCCACCCGCACCAAGCGCTGGAGATCATGACGTAGATCACACGCAGTCTTCAATCCCGGCCGTTATTTCTGAAGGCGTGGTTCCAGGGTTGCCGGTGGTGAACAATGACGGAAGCGGAATCGTAGCCGGTAAAGTCAACGGAGACGGAGGCTTAGGCAGGGACGGAGGCATGGACGGAGGCGGAGTGACGGGTTTGGAGGAGGCGACCGGCGGGGACCAGAGCGTGGCAACGCCAATGACGGAGCGCAAGCGGGAGAAGCAGATGGAGGTGTTCGTGGGCGGCCTGGACAAGGACGCGGCGGAGGAGGACGTCAAGCGCGTCTTCGGCCGCGTCGGGCAGATCGCGCACGTGCGCCTGCCGCGCGACGCCGCGACGGGGCGCAACAAGGGCTACTGTTTCGTGCAGTACGCCACTGAAGGCGCCGCACGCCGTGCCGCCTCTGAACTGGACCGAATAGTGGTACGCGCTGGTCGCCGTTGAGGTTTTCGTCGGCACAATGTCATCTCACGACGCTTTCAGGCCTTACTGGGTCGGAGCCTTTTATCTCCCTGGCTTGCGAGGCCGCTCTACTGCAACACTCGATCTGCCCTGTCCTAATATAAAAATAGTCGGTCGTTTTCGTTTTTTCTCACCTTCCTCTTTTCACGTGGCACGTGGGCACGTGCGGGGTGCAGGTGCGGGGGAGGCCAGTGGGGGTGTTGGGCGGCGAGCAGGAGGACACGCTGTTCATCGGGAACATCAACAAGACGTGGTCCAAGGCCAAGGTCAGTCACGCTACAGGGTTACAAGTCTCAAGTTCCCCGTGTCTTATTGGCAATGTGCTCGGAGCGGAACAGTAAAAGCGGTTTTAGGGATGTTGGCCGCCGAGCCGTCATGCATTTCGTTTCATTTCATTTCACCTGCCCAACAGCCGTCTGATTCACCGTATCCGCTTCTCATTGCAATCGTCTGCCATCCCCGCCGTCCCTGCCTGCCGTGTGCTGCGAGCGCGCCGTGGGTGGCAGATAGAGGCGGTGCTGGTGGGGAGCGGCGTGGGGGCGTGGGAGGCGCTGACGTTCATGGAGGACCCGCAGCACGCGGGGCACAACCGCGGCTTCGCCTTCCTCGAGTTCGCCTCGCACCGCGCCGCCGCCGCCGCCAAGCAGCGCCTGCAGCAGGCGGACGTGAGCCTGGGCGTGGACCGCCCGCCCCGCGTGTCGTGGGCCGCGCCCCTCAACGAGCCCGACCAGCGCGTCATGGCGCAGGTGCGCGTGCAGTGCGGGCATGGCACAGGTGTGTGGTTCCGATGGTAGGCATGGGGCAGCATGGCGTGGGATGCTGCTGATGGCTGTTGTTGCTGTGTCCATTCATGTCAGTGACTCATATCGCTGTACGTCTGTCATCATCCCCCTCGCACCCGCTCTTCACCCGCCTGCGTCTCTCCCCCGGACGGCAGGTGAAGAGCATTTTCGTGGATGGCATGCCGCCCTCGTGGGACGAGCCACGGGCGGCGGGGTTTTTCGGGAGATACGGGCAGATAGAGCGTGTGGTGCTGGCGCGCAACCTGCCATCCGCCAAGCGGCAGGACTACGGCTTCATCAACTACACCACTCGCGAGGCTGCCCTCGCTGCCATTGCTGCTCTCAATGGCTCACAAGTGGTGGATGGAAGTTTTCAGGCAAGTGCTTCCATTTTTATGAGTGCTGCGATGCCCATGTGTGTGCTGCTCACGCCCATGTCTGCCCCACCCCACCACCCCCTTCGCCCCCTCTGCGTGTCTCACCAACCCATGCCTGAGTCCGCCTGCCGCTCCACCCCTCTTCCCCCCCTGCAGATGAAGATGCGTGTGACTCTGGCGAAGCCGCAGGACCGCAAGCCGCGCCACCCGCCTCCCAGCGGCAGGGCGGGAGGGGGGGAGCAGCGCAGGGCGGGCATGGGGGACGGCAGCGTGACTGCGCTGCTGGAGGCGCTGAGGGAGCAGGCAGAGCGCGAGGAGCGCGGAGAGGGCGCGCAGGAGGCCCAAGCAGGGGAGGGGGAAGGCGCAGCGGGAAAAGCGGAGGCAGGGGCGGAGGTGAAGCAGGAAGGTGGTGGCGATGGGGGGAGCGCAGTGGGGACGGGCAGTGCACTGGAGGGGGGGGTGGGGGGAGGAGAGGGGGAGAAGCCGGAAGGAGGAGGAGGGGTGGGGGAGCAGGAGGGAGGGTTGGCAGGGAGTGCAGCGGCGGCAGTGGAAGCAGCTTTGGCAAATGAATCCAAGGGCACGGGCGACGGAGAGGGGGACGCGGAGGGGGAAGCAGGGGAGGAAGGGGCAGAGGGGGAGGCGGGGACGCCAGGGAAAGCGCGTGCGGGGGAGAGGGAGGGGAAGAACACGGCAGGGCTGAACCGGTTTGAGTGTGCGGTGTGTGTGTTTGGGTCGGACGACGAGAGCGAGTACCTGTCGCACCAGCTGTCGCGCGTGCACAGCATTGTGAGCATGTTCCGGCAGGACCTCAAGCTGTCCAACAAGACACCCCTCAGCATGCTCAACGAGCTTGCTATGCGCAACAAGATCGAGGTGAGATGCCCTTGCATGTCCCACCAGCTGTCGCGCGTGCACAGCATCGTGAGCATGTTCCGGCAGGACCTGAAGCTGTCCAACAAGACGCCCCTCAGCATGCTGAATGAACTCGCCATGCGCAACAAGATCGAGGTGAGATTGCCTTGCCATGTCATGCGCAACAGGATTGAGCGACCACCCTGCCTGCCGTGCCCATGCCTGCAGTGGTCGCAACAATGCCTTCTCGTCCACCTGTCGCTTCAGTCATCCTATTTGCACGAGCATTTTATTCGCAGAACCCCCCTGACCTTGTGCGTCTTCTCTCCGCGGGCCACCTATTCCTGCCCGCCCCTGCCAGGTGACGTACGAGCTCAAGGGCGAGCCCACAGGCCCCTTTGACGCGTCCGCATCACTAGGGGGAGGCCCCAACGCCATCCCGTGGGTGTGTGGCGAGGCGCGCGCGGGCATGAAGCTGCGCGCCAAGCAGATGGCGGCGGCTGCTGCGCTGGAGTCGCTGCTGCAGGCGGGCGTGGGGGAGAGCGAACTCACCCGCCCAGGGCAGGCGCGGCTGAAGCAGATGGGCAAGGGCAAGGGCGGCAGAGGCTCGCCTGGAGGGGCGCAGCGCGGGGGGCGAGGGGCGTATGGGGGGCGCGGAGGGGGGGATAGGGGGCGCGCGGATAGGGATGGTGGGGGTTATGGGGGGTGGGGGACAGGGGACGTGGAAAGGGGAGTGGGTGGGTATGGTTCGTTGGGGGTGTACGGGGGAGGGGCGATTGGTGGCGGTTTGGGGGAGGCGGCAGCGGGGGAGAGTTATGCGGAGAGGCTGGGGCGCATTCAGGGCATGCACTATGTGATGCGCTCTGGCCTGCCTCCTGTCTCGCCTAGCATGCAGCCTCTTGCTCCTCCTGCTGCCCCTCCGCTGGGTGCTGGCTTGGGTGCAGCGGCAGGGGGGTATGGTGCTCCCAGCACTGGATATGCCGGCTCTGGGGCTGCAGGGGCTGCTTATGGGGGGCAGTATGGTGGTGGGCAATACAGTGCGGTGCAGTATGGTGGAGCGCAGTACGGAGGCAAGTATGGGGGGGCTCAGTATGGTGGCTCACAGTACAGTGCGGTGCCGTACGGTGGGGCGCAGTATGGAGGGGCGGCGTACGAGGGGCAGTACGGGCGGACAGAGGGAGCAGCGAGTGGAGGGAAGCGGCCATATCTCCCTGCTGACAACCCTGACGCCCTTGTGAGCCACTCCCCGCCCCACCTATCCGCCCTTCCCGCCCCACCTATCCGCCCTTCCTGCCCCTCCGCCCCTGGACTCGCCTTTCCCCCCTAGGCCTCGCTGTTCCTCCCTCGTGCCCTCCTTGCCCGCGATTCAATTCCCTCTGTCCCGTGTTCATTCCCTTCAACCTCTCCCCCCCCCCACCCTCAAACCCCCCTCCATGTGTGTGTGCAGCACACCAGCCAGCGACCACGCACCGACCCCTACGCTCCCCCTGCTCCCCCCACACGCTCTGCCTACTCCAACCCCCCGCCCACACACCCCTACAGCGCGCCTCCGCCCCCGCACTCCTACTCCACGCCTCCCGCTCATCCCTACACCAACCCACCCCCAGCACATCCGCCCCCCTCCAACCCTCCTCCCTCCTACCCCTCTGCGCACACCTACCCCGCCCCACCCTCTTACCCGCCGTCCTACTCCTACCCTCCTGCCCCCGCTGCTCCATACGGCACTGGGAGTGCACCGGCAGCAGCAGCACCAGCGCCACCCCCGTACTACCAGCAGCAGCACCCACAGGCACAGCAGGGGGCCGGGGCGGGCAGTGGCAGCAGCGCAGGCGGTGCAGAGCGGTGAGTGCTACTGTGAGAGGTGCTTGTGCATGCGAGGACTACCTACCCACATATCCACGTCTTGCCCATTTCACATTATGAGTTGGTGCTTTCTCTCGCGTGCCTCTCCCACCACATGCCACAGCTCCCTTCCCCTCCCTCCCTTCCGCTCTTGTCCCTTACCTCCCCTTCCCTTCCCTTCTCGCCTTTCTGTGTGCGATGCGATGATGTCACTGTGCATGCCAGCTCGTACGCACACTCTCACCACTACTCCACCCAGCCGCAGCCGCAGCAGCAGCAGCAGCAGCAGCAGCAGCAGCAGCAGCAGCAGCAGCAGCAGCCCTATCAGCAGCCTTACTCGCAGCAGCAGCCGCCACCCCCACAGCAGCCATACCAGCCGCCATACCAGCAGCCACAGCAGCAGCAGCAGCAGCAGCAGGGTTATGATCAGAAGCCTCCACAGCAGCAGCAGCAGTCGGCAGCAGGGGGGGCAGATAGAGGCCGCGGTGGAGAGGGAGGGGGGCAGCAGCAGGGAGTGAAGCGAGAGGGGGGAGGACAGGGGGGCTATGCAGGAGGGCCAGCGCCTCCCAGCACTGCAGGCGGTTACGGGGGTGCGTATGGGGGCGCGTATGCAGGCCTGTATGCTAACACCCATGCTGCCACCACTTCCGCCGCTCCTGCTCCTCCCGCCGCTCCTGCTCCTCCCGCCGCCCATTCTTCAGCAGCGCCGCCCAACCATTCTCAGCCGCCAACGTCTGCCGGCCAGTCCCCTGCGCCTGCAGGTGGTGCGGGCGGTGGCGGGGGGGCAGCGGGTGCAGGGGGTGCGACGGGGACGAGTGCATACGGGCAGTATGCGTCGGTGCCCACCACCTACTACTGACCGCTGCTCTGCCACGCCAGTCATCTGTTGGCATGGCACAGGTGAGACGATTGGCAGTGGTGGTTCCACTTGCACTCCATGCTCGCCCCTGGTGATTCACTGTGCTCCCCGGCCTCCTCAGCCACCTGGTGGCCTCTGCTGTGCCGTGCATTGCAAATGGCCTGCCTCCCTCCTCTTCACGCACGGGGCAGCATCCCTCTCGACGTACGCATGCTGGCCTGCTGTGTGTGTGCGTGTGAGTGGTGACTTGTGGCAGCACCAGCATGTGCATGCTTCCCTGCAACCACCACATTGTCAACACATGTTGTGCTCGTGTCTGTCTTTTCTGCCCCTCTTGCGAGTCTCGTCGCATCTGTTGCAACCATTGTTCCCGTGGTTGCCATTGCGTCTACCTCACAAGCCTCGATAGTTGACTCAAAAGCCACCTCGTGTGCCAATGTGAATGTCTGTCCCCCACAAACCTACCTGCAGCAGACACGCTCGTGTCTTCTCTCGGCCAAGAGCCGGTTCGGGCTGACCCAGCCCGAACCCTCAGTCAAATGCGAAACTGAAACCGACAGATTGCCTACTTTGAAAGCGAATGTTGAAGGTCCACTGTGAAGCGGCCTGCTTGCATGGCAAGCAAGCAGTGCGCTGCTGGTGCTCACGGCAGCACACCCCAAAGCATTGCTGCTGGCACAGAGTGTTGGCTCGGCTCCTGTCTGAAGCGCAGCACAGCAGCGGCGGTCTGTGAGTCTTTGACACGCAGATCGCAGCCCCACCTTGCTGTGAATGCTTTGCGTGCTGCCTATTTTCTGTCCTAGAAAACACCACTTTTCTTTCAAGCTAAGCTGAAGCTTGTAGCCGTTGACTTCCGTTCTCTCCAGGCCTCCTGGGAAGAACCTTTTTTTTTTCTTCGTGTTTGCTGCTTTTTGTTTCTAGGATTTGCTCTCTTAGGCGTGATACTGTGCTTTCCGCTTGCCATTTACAATCTATCAATGTGGTGCATTGCATTCTGTCTGCACCACATGGTTCTGGACGCTTGATGTTGGGATTTAGGTATCGTATCAAATATGGGTAGATGACACTGGAGCGATGTGCATTAGGAAATAGCAGATGAGCTAAATTGAGTAGTGGTGAAATCGTAGCCACTCAGGAACAGCAATGGGCAGCATTTCTAGTTCGATCCCACCTGTCGCCAAATCTGAGCTGGCTAATCATTCTTCCCAGGTTCTATATCAATGCGTTGCCATAGAAATGCCAATATTATGTGGAATGGTACATGTGGGCCTGCTGGCAGCACAGAGTTGCAGGTGGTGCAGGTGGGTGTGGAAGCCGTGGTGGTGGCATGGGTCACTCAGTCACTCACTTACCTGACTGCATGTGCATTTAGTGAAGATACATGAGGGTGTACTCCATTAGGGTCATCCATGGCCCCACCACACCACAGAGCCCTACATGCTTTATAAGCAGTGTACCTACATGCTACTCATAGATGCTTTTCAGCCCTTGTTTTCCTCTTTTGCTGGGAGAGAACACGTCAAACTTGTAAATGCCTGCCCCTGCTTTGTAGAATCCAACAGCCTACCATGTCCCAGTTACCGTACTCTCATATTGAGAGGAAAGTCATCCAAATCACAGAGTCACTCCAATCCTACTCACCTGCAGAACATGGCCTGCCAGTTCAGGCGTAGATTATTGACAGTGCTTGATACTCTTGTTGTGTGCACAGAATGAATAAAGATTGCTTGCTTTACTCCTACCTAACAGAAACATTTTTTAGCACTTGGAGTCCAGTGAGCTGGAGTTGGGAACATTGTGGGAAGATGCAGTCTGCCATGACAGGCATTCACCCCTCTCTCGACATGTGCGTGTGGGATGGGAACTACAGCACGTGTCGCTCTGCACGCAGGCAACACCCTCAGGCTGGCAGGGCATGTGGATGCGAGGTGTAGCAACCTGAGTGATGTCATGTGTGGCTTGCAGGAGAGCAGTCATGATGATGCTGAGGGGGTGACGTATGTGATGGTGGCGTGTGATGCCAGCCAGTCCAGCACCGTCTTCCCCTCCAACACCTCTTCTGCCTGTCATGTTGCCAAAGCGTGGGGTTGACACAGGAGTTGGAGAGATGGAGATGCCATGGACGACGGGCAAGGGGCAAGTAGCGATGAGCAGCAACGAAGCACTTGCTGTGCATGTGCTCATGCACCACGTGTGCCATGCCTCTCTCACCCACCACCGCCCACCGCAACCGCCCACCGCCAACCCGCCCACTGCCCACTGGCATGACAGGGTGCATCCCCCCTTTACCTGTTCCCGGATGCGCTTGCCATCGAACTCCTGGTTGAAGCGCTTAAACTCCGCCTCTGCACTCGCCACCTCCGCCTCCAGCTCCTCCTCACTGAACTGCAGCCCCTCCAGGCGGTACACCTCCTGCACCGCCAGCGCCTGCTTGACCTGGCGCTCGATCTTGTCCTTCTGTGCGCGAAGGTAGTTCTCCACCATGCCCTCCGCCATCAGCGCCGCCACCTCCTCCTTGCGCACCTTGCCCTCCGTCTGCCCCCGGGGGGAGTGGGTGGGTGCAGGGGGCAGCACACAACGGGTGAGACAGGCCCGCATGGAGAGGTTGGGCGCACGTGCAGGTGGGCAGCAGAGCAGAAGCAAACGCATGGTTACGGCAACTCAATTCCCATAGAACAACAAAAGCGCTTGCACCACCTCTCACCTGCAGCTCGATGAGCTTGGCGCCGTACATCTGCCGGCCCTGCTCCTCCAACAGTGAGTTGGGCACCGCCATCTCACACACCTGCCAGCAATGCACAGCATGAAGGAACCATGGCGGGAACGATGGCAGGTTATGCATCACATTACACAGACAGTGCATCGCTAACCTTCCCCGCATCCCTCCCCCATGGCCCAGCCACACCTCTCCCCTGCATATGTATTCTCCCCATGCGGCAGACCTACCTCCCCCATGTGACCCTTGCCTTCCCCATGCAAGCCCACCTTCCCAAAGCACGCCCACCACCATACCTCCCCAAGCCGTACCTCCCCCAGCCACACCTCCCCCAGGCATACCTCCCCAGCCACACCTCCCCTATTCATACCTCCCCCAGCGCGTTGACGATGGCGTTGAGGGTGGCCTGCTTGCGCTTCTGCTGCTGCTCCACCTGCCACGCCCCCGCCACCTTGCTGCGCACCTGCACGGCCACCGGAGGGGGGGGGAAGGGCGGATGGGGGGTGGCGGATAGCGGGTGGTGGATGGGAGCCCGCAAAGGGGATTGAGTGGCATGACACAAGGGATGTAAGGAATGGGACGGATGCGAGGCATGGGAATGTGGTTGTGCCATGCATCGATAGCTCTGGTAAGTGAAACGGCATGGCGGTGTGGCAGCAGGGGGCACATCATCCCCGTGTCGTGTCGTACCTCATCGATGGTGGCCACTCCTGGGAGGAATTTCTCAGCAAGTTCGTCTGTCAGCTCAGGTAGCTCCCTCACAAACAGCTCCTGGCATTTCACCTGTGGGGGGGGAGAGGAGGAGGGAGGGGAGGGGGGTGAGGAGACCCGGGAGGGGGATGGAAGGGAAGTAGGAGCGAGAGCTGATGCGACATGGGGTGGGTGCAGAACTGTGCAAGGAGCGATGCAGAGTGGTGTGGAGAGTGGTGCATTGCGGTGCCGAAGCAGTGCATGGCGGCACAAAGAGCAGGTGGCAGCGGGCGCACAGTGAAGGTGGCGGGCAGGTTGCGGAGGGACTCGGTCTGCCAGGTGGGCGGGAAGGTGAGGTGGAACTCGCGCGTCTGCCCGCGCTGCATGCCGATGAGTGCGTCCACCATGCCCGGTAGCAGATACTCGCCCTCCTCCGTGTCCAGCTGGAACCCTGGTGGGGTAAGGTGGGGGGAGGGGGAGAGGAAGGGCGGAGAAGGGGCGGTGAAAGGGGAGAGTGGGGGAGAAGGAAATGGTGGGGGGCCAAGGCGGGTGGAATGGAATGGAATGGGCAGCAGGGGTGAGGAATGTGAGGGTGGAGGGATGTGGGTGGTGCTGGTGAACGAGGGGGCGATGGGGATGGAGAGTGGGGGCACATGGGCGGATGGGGGTGACGGGGTGAATCCGGGTGGAGAGACAGTGATGCGGAAGGTGCAGGGCAAGGGGAGGGGGAGGGGGAGGGGGAGGGGGAGGGGGAGGGGGAGGGGGAGGGGGAGGGGGAGGGGGAGGGGGAGGGGAAAAGGGGATGGAGAGGGGGAGGGGGGCACCTTTCTGAGTGGCGGAGAGGATGGGGTCGCCCTTCTGGCCGTCCGCTGTGATGCGATGTGCCTCTATGTCCATTATCGTCACATCGCCCATCTGCATGCGCGCATGCATGCACGCACACATCCACACATGGGGTTAACATCAGTAGACACACTACGTTTAGCTTTAGCAAGAGGGACAAGGGTGTGTGTGTGTGTGTGTGCATGTCCGTGCGTGCACGTGCTGGTGTGTCCATGCGCAAGCATCTGTGCATGCGGGCATGGGTGTGCATGGGTGCAGATGGGTGTGTGTGCGTGCACGGGTGTGTGCATGCATGGGCATGCAGCAGCAGCAGCGGCATGACCTTGAGGCCAGAGTCCTGGGAGATATTGAGCCGCCCCATGCTCTTGAGCTGCGTGCGGATCTGCCTGTCCGCCGCCGCCCTGGCCGCCTCGTCCCCGTCGTCATCCACCTCCACCTCCACCTGCAGCGCTGCATACGGCCGCTCGCCCCTCCACTTCACTGACGGCGCCACGTCCACTGTCACCTCGTACCTGATGGGATGGGGGGGTAGGGTGAGGAGAGAGGAGATGGCGGGGTGTTGTTTTGAGAAGACTCAGAACACCTGCAGCGCTGCATACGGCCGCTCGCCCTTCCACCACACTGATGGCGCCTCGTATGATGAGAGGGGAGGTGAGAGGGGTGGGGATGGCGGATGATGCGATGTGGTGTGCTGAGGAGATGGAATGCGAGGATGAAAGAGCACGAGTGGAAGGGGGAAGGTGAGTGCAGGAGAAAAGATGAGGAGACGGAGCGGTGGGGGAAAGAATGAGTAAGATAAGAAAGGGAGTGAGATGGAGTGAGGGAGCGGGGCTGACGAGAGGGGGCTGTCGGGTTGGAAGGCGGCAACGAGGTCGTCCACATTGGATGTGATGTGCTCCGAGTCCTTTAGCGCCCTCCCCGCCACCTGATGCCACGCACGCATGCATGCAGGGCAGCACATACACACACGCATACATGCACGCGTGCAACACATATCCGCAGCACACATTTAAGAAGTGGGGCATGCACACATGCATGGCATGGGGGCAGCATCAGGAGATGCAAGAGGCACAGCCCCCGTGGGGCAGAAGCAGAGGGCATTGAATCTCGCAGGCATGTGAGCAACAGGTGGCCCAGGAGAGAGTGGGGCGAGCACGAGGAGTGCGGGGCAGGGATGGGCATGAGGAGGGTGGAGAGAGGCGAGTGCGGGATGAAGGGCACACGGAGGCGACTGGGGGTGGGGGCAAGGGGGGAGAAGAGAGGGGGGCGCGCACGGAGGCGAGGGCGTCGGAGAGGGTGGACTGCAGGAGCAGGTCGAGCGCCTGCAGCTTGACTGGGCGCTCCCCGTACTCGCGCACCAACAGCCACTCCGGCACCCTGTCGCCCTTCCTGAACCCCTTTATCTGCTCCACGCGAGGGGGAAGGGAGTTGGGGGGGAGAGAGGATGGCGGAGGAAAAAGCGAGTGAGTGCATGGGGTTGGAGACGGTGAGAGAGCGGCAGTGCGATGCGAATGGGGGGGCAGAGAGGAAGGGGGTGCCGGCATGGCATGCGAATGCGGTGCAGCAGTCGCACAGTAGCCTCACAATGGCGGACGGCAGCGGCATGTGATGGACCAATGCCGGTCACTGCACTGCGTGCGCTGCGAGTCACCTCACCTGAGTGGTGCGCATCAGCTCTTTAACGGTCCGCTGCCACGTGTCAGCGCAGATCGCGGCGGGCACCGTCACCGTCAGTCGAACCTGCTCACAAGGCGCCGCACGGCACGGCACGGGGTATAAGTAGGGGCGCGGTTGAGGGGACAGGGTTCTGCGCGCGCGCGTTGCTCGTGTCCGCGCTGTTGCATTCAGACCGCCACGGCGCGGGCAGCTGTTCCCACTATCGCCCTCTCGCCTCGCTCGCCCCGCCTCGCTGTGGCTCGGCGCATCTGCCTTCCCGCGTCACTGCGTGTCGCCCATCGCCTGTTGCCCACAATGCGGCAGTCAAGATCTAGCCTTTTCCAGGCAGCTACAAGCCCCGTGGCATTTCCCATGACGAGCGACGCGAGCGCTGTGGAAAATGTGAGCGATCGCGATTGCTCTCGCGAAGGCCTGGCGGCGAGACGACAATGCCGGCATGCGAGGATACCAGCGTCGCCGCGGCAGCTAGCGCCTGCTGCGACGAGGGCCCGCGACATGGCGTGACACGCATGAGCGCGGCTACTGACGGGCGAGGGGGAATCGATCCTCCGTGCACCAAGCAGCACGGGTGCTGCCGCCACTCACCCGCGAGTTCTCGTCCTCCTCAGACTCCGTGACCTCCACACGCGGCTTCTCCGCCTTCGTCTTCGCCTTCGCCTTTGACTTGCCGCCCCCCTCCGCTGACGCTGCCGCTACAGCATGCCTGGCACGTTCGCCAAGGGTCGCCGAGCGGCGTAGCTGCTTTCGCCGGCAGCATTCGTGCGACTGGCGCTTTAACGGAGCGCCCAGGAACGAGCAGGCAGGTCGAGCATTGGTGGTGGCAGCAGAGGAAGAATGGATCGCAAGGGATGCGGCGGGCGCAGAGGCGAGAACCTTGGAAGCCATGGTTGCTGATGAAAAGAGTGCAAAAGCTGATCAGGGCGGGAGATATTTTGGAAACAGTTCAAGCTCTGTACTCGTTACAAAAGTGCCTGATATCTCCAAATCACCAGACAGCTACACAAAATCAATTTATTCGGAGAAGCACGAACAAGGAGGAATATTTGTGAAAGAACCAGAGAGCCCTCATGGTCACCTCCGGAGGGAGAGCCAATGAAGGCATGGGATGACGTGGCAGTACCATATCATAGTGGCAACAGGCTTCCTCTGGTCATCCCAGGCCAACGTACAATTGCGTTGCACAGTGCTAATTTCGGGCAGGTTTTGGTCAATGCGAACTGGTTGGTGATCACTGTTTCGTCCCCCGAACAAAGCGAGGATTTATAGTTTCTGGAGAACTTCTGATGGGATGAATGATGTTCGATTCTCAAAGAAAACTTATAAATGTTTTTGCGACTGCCGCGACCTCTTGCGTTGACGCCAGGCTGGCGCTCGATTTGTTCGAATTGACATCACGCCACGACCCGCTGAGCTGACCCCGAGAGGCGATTCGGCCTGGTGTCGCAGCCAACAACCGGGCGAACCTCCCCCCACGTCCCCCCCAACATTCGCCACCTGACGCCCAACACTGAGGAATCATCCGCCTCTCCCTGCAATTCAGTTCCGCCTACTGTACAGCTGTTCGCTCTGCCCCTCCCCCGCCTAACTCCCCGCCTCTATTCGCTCGTGGCCAGCTCGCTAGATCGACCGCCAGCTTGCCGCAACAGGCTCACCAGAAAGCAAGCACCCCCGCACCAACCCACCCACCAGGTTCAAGCCACCCATATGATGTGACATGAGACCTCGACATTGTGCGTTCTAGAATCTAGGAACTGTCATCGCACAAGCTTGCTCGACTGACTAATTCACAGTGAGAGGGCGTAAATGCTCGCTTGAGTTCAGCGAAAGCATGCCCGCAGCGGCCGTCGCTGTGCTTGGGGGGAACGAATGCGTTGCAGATTATCCTGCTCACTGCGCTAGCCATAAATCCGCTTCCCGCCCGACGGGTTGCGCAGGCATTGCCGGTGGCGTGGGTACTAGCGAGACGAGAGAGGGCGGGCCAGTTATGGATGCACGAAGCGGTTGGGAATACGCAGGAGTAGGCAAGAGAGGTAGCCCGGGGTCACGAGGGATGCGCAGCGGTGAGGAGGTGAACATGAGAGGGCGGGGCGCAGTGGACATGGATGTCTTGTGGGCGGATCCAGCGGTGGGAAGAGGGGGCGGGGATAGGGATGCGCGCGCTGATAAAGGCGGGGAAGGCGGGGAGTACGACGACGACGACGAGGAGCACGAGGCACCGGCGCTGGAGCGACTAGAAGCCGTGTCGCGCCACTCGACCCCGTCGCGCTTTTCGTTGAACGCCTCGCCCGGGGTGCCTGGCGCGGGCAGGGAAAGGTCCGCTGAGGGCATTCCCCGACCGCGCACCGGAGGGCACGGCGCGCGCAGTATGCACGACGGCGCGCAGGCGCAGAGGGGCGACGGGGCGGCCAAGGTCCATCCGCGCACCCGGGCACTGCGCGCGTCGCACCACCGCCGCTGGGCGTCGTTCGACGGTTCGAATGCCATGCTTTGGGACGGGGAAGACATATCGCGTGCGCATTCCGCGGAGAATTCGGCGCGGTTGCCATGGGGCGGCGCGGCGGAGCAACAGCTGCAGAGCTCGCTGCACCCCGACAGCCTGCTCCGCGATCCCTCCGCGTCCGCGGTCGGCTCAGCTTGCCCAAAGCCCTCCGTGCGCCGAACGCGCACGCGACAGCAGCGACAACCGCGGGCGAACGCGAGCAGCCAGCTGCAGATGCGATCTCGATCGGACCGGCTGGGTGAGTCGGGTAACCAATCAGATGGCGAAGTTGAGGGCGGCGGCGCGTTAGCGGGCGAGGGGTCGTCGGACGACGACGAGCTATTCCGCCCCACGCCGCCGCGCATGCTGGGCGGCGTAGGAGCGCGGTCCGGCAGGTGGGCGAGCGCGAGCAGCGGGGAGCGCGGGTCCGTGCTGGCGGCATGGCAGCAGCGCGAGCTGGCGCAGGTGGAGGAGAAACTCCGCCACGCGGGCGATGGCGGAGAGATGGCGGGAGGCGCGCTGGCGGGTGCGAGTCAGGGGCGGGGAATGGATGGACTGGGGGACGAGAGGCGCAGGCTCGGCGGAGAGGCCTTGTGGGGGAGGGGGGAAGGGGAGGCCGAGGCGGAGGCGGTGGGCGCAACGGAAGGGGACGGTAGTGAGTCAACGGTCAGGGGCGCGCAGGATGGTGCGCTGGCAAGTGAGATGATGACACGTGGACTCTTGGATGATGCTGACGTGGATGCGAGGGAGAATGGGTCGTGCAGACAGGGCGACGCGGGAAGGCGGAGAAGGGAGCAAGGGGAAGACGGGGGTGAAGGGGAAGCGGGGGAGGATGTAGGAGGGCGGGAGGGAGGCAGTGAAGGGCTGGTGGGGGTCGCAGCGGGGCAGGAGGAGGCGGAGGCGGAGACTCAAGAGGGGGAAGATGCGGGGGGGGAGTTGGGGACGGGGGACAGGGGGGAAGCTGACGGAGAAGATCTGGAGGGGGGGAGCAGAGTGGACGGGGCGGAGGGGGAGGGGGAAAGCGAGGCGCGCAGTGCAGAGGAGCACAAGGCGGAGGAGGGGGAGGAGCGCGAGCAGGGCGGGCATGGGGAGGGCGGGCATGGGGAGGGCGGGTGGCCCAAGTTCCTGCGGCGCAATGCAACCGCGCAGCCGGGGGGGGGCAAGGGGGAGAGCGGGGGGGGGCGGGGGGAGCCGGCTGGGGCAGCTGCTGCGCAACGGGACGTTCAAGCGCCCGCAGGGGGAGGGCGAGGAGCGCCACGGCAGCCGCCTGGGCCGCGTGGCCACCGCCGTGCGCGCTGGGCTCAAGTCCAGTGAGACTCGGGGGAGGGGACGGGGAGGATGTGGGGCTTTAGACATGGGGGGAGGGGGGAGAGGTGGGTTGGCATAGGGCGTGGGGCGGAGGAGGGGGAAAGGGCGAAGGACATGGGGCATGGGGTGTGGGGTGTGTGACGGTCGGAAGTGAAGGGGGGATTAGTGGGGTGACTGCCTCGTGCCCTTTGGTCCACCTCATCTCTTGCTCCCCTTTCCGCATCTTCTCTTCGTCTCACCAAACCACTCTCTCCCCCCTCCCCCCTCCCCGTGTGTGCTGTGTGGTTGGGTGCAGGCTCGTCCTTCAACGCGCGCAAGCATGCACAGCAACACCCACAGGAGCAGCGGCAGCAGCAGCAGCAACAGGAGCAGCAACAGTGAGACCATGCGCCCTTGCCATGCCCCCTCTTCTCCATGGCCCCTACCCATGCCCCTTCCGCACCTTTATGCCCAAACCGCTCCCCCGGCCACTCGTTCTTGCCTCTCTCCCTCCGCCCTGTACACCCGATTCCCCCCACATTTCCGCCCAAGGATTCACCCCGGATATCTTCTCTCATACGCACCCCGTTCTCCCCTCTCCCCTCTTCCCCCCTTCTCTCTTTCCCCCCCACCTTCCCCCATCCGCGCGCAGGGAGGGGAAGGGCTTTGAGGGGCTGGCAGCGCCCAAGCGCGTGCAGTTCCAAATGACGGAGCTGGAGGTGAGGGGGGGGGGGGGTTGGGGGGAGGAGAAGAAGGGGGGTTGGGGGGAGAGAACGGGGATGGAGAGGCGCATGGGGGGAAGGATGTGCGGGGCAAGAAGCATGTTAGTAGTAGTGATGGTGCCACAAGTTGTGCTATGAGTGTCGCCATTCATGCTTCTTGCAGCCGTGAGTGCTGCATGGGGTGTGTGGGTAGTGCCACTCAGCATGGCCGTCACCCCATTCCCCACCGCACATGCCCTTGCACAACACCCTCTCACTGCATCAAACCCCATGCTCTCTCACCTCCCAGGCTCCCACTCCCATCCCAACACCTCCCACACACCATCCCACTCCTCCCCCGCCTCTCCACCCTCTCTCCTCCTTTCCCATACGCCTTCCCCTCCCCCGCGCGCCTCTCAACCCTCTCTCCCCCCTCCTTCAGTTCGCCACTGACGGCTTTGCCAGGGAGAACGTGCTAGGAGAGGGCAGATTCGGCACAGTCTACCGCGGGCTGCTACCTGTGGCCCCGCGCGTGGAGGTAGCAGTGATGGTGTTGAAGCAGCTGGGCGTGCAGGCGGACGAGGAGTTCCACATCGAGCTCGAACTGCTCTCCCGCCCTCTCCACCCTCCCACTCCTCCCCTACCCTTGCCTTTCAACCCTCTCCTCCACCTCCCTCTCACAGTTCGCCACAGACGGCTTCGCGCGCGAGAACATATTGGGAGAGGGCGGATTCGGCACGGTGTACCGCGGCCTACTACCAGTAGCACCCCGCGTGGAGGTGGCGGTGAAGGTGTTGAAGCAGCTGGGCGTGCAGGCGGACGAGGAGTTCCACATCGAGCTCGAACTGCTCTCCCGCCTGGACCACAAGAACCTCGTGCGCCTGCACGGCTTCTGCTCCACCGCCTCCCAGCGCATGCTCGTTTACGAGTTCCTGCCCAACGGGAGCCTCACCGACCACCTCCATGGTATGTCCAATGCTCCTCGCCCCCATGTGCCCCTGTGCATTCCCCTTCTGCTCCACCGACTCCCAGCGCATGCTCGTCTATGATTACTTGCCTAGTGGCAGTCTCACCGACCACCTCCATGGTACTGCCTGTGCTATGTGCCGCACACTCCACGCCCTACACCCTTTGCAGCCATCCGCTTGTGCGTGCCCCTCGCCTCCCCTCACCTCGCCTCGCCGTCCCCCACTTCCAAGCCATTTTGCCTGGCTGCGTGTGGGGCCCGCTGTACCAAAACCATTTCCAACCGCGCCCCACACCTGCAGGCCCCCCTGGAACGGCGGAGCTGTCGTGGGAGCGGCGGGTGCGCATAGCAGCGGGGGCGGCGAGGGGGCTGGCTCACCTGCACCGGCAGCGACCACAGATCCTGCACCGCGATGTGAAGGCGCCCAACATCCTGCTCACCTCTAACTTCACTGCTAAGGTGCGCGTGTGGCACATGGCAGTGCAACACAGCGCACCGTGTTGCATCATGTAGCATCACATTTATTTGCATCGGACAAGACATGACACCACTTCACTCACACCCATTTTCTATGTCACTAACCCACTGTGTGCCCCAGCGCGCCTTGAGAGCCCTCGCTTTCCCTCCTTGTCACTCGCCTCATCGAACCCCGTTCTCACTCCTGCCCTGCCATGCATCCTCTCACTCTCCCTTTGGAATCCAAACCCTCCTCCCCTCCCTTCCCCCTCTCCCTTGCCACCAAGTGGCGGACTTTGGGTGTGCGAAGCTGATACGGCGCACGGAGGTGGTGCAGGACGCGGTGTCGGGGCGGCAGGTGGTGGAGTGCCCTGGCCCTCCCTCCTTTTCACTCCCCTCATTGAACCCCTTTCCACTCCCCCCCTCAGGTGGCGGACTTTGGGTGTGCGAAGCTGATACGGCGCACGGAGGTGGTGCAGGACGCGGTGACGGGGCGGCAGGTGGAGCGGCTGTGTGACAGTGTGGACTACGCCATGGGCACGCCGGGTCACATGGCGCCAGAGATGCTCATGACCGGCGAGATCAGCGCCGCCACTGATGTGTACAGGTGGGTGCTGCACAGTGCATGCAGGTGGGTGATGGTGCACGCAGGCAGGTGGAGCGGCTGTGCGACAGTGTGGACTACGCCATGGGCACGCCGGGTCACATGGCGCCAGAGATGCTCATGACCGGCGAGATCAGCGCCGCCACTGATGTGTACAGGTGGGTGCTGCACAGTGCATGCAGGTGGGTGATGGTGCACGCAGGCAGGTGGAGCGGCTGTGCGACAGTGTGGACTACGCCATGGGCACGCCGGGCCACATGGCGCCCGAGATGCTCATGACCGGCGAGATCAGCGCTGCTACTGATGTGTACAGGTATGCCAAGCATGCAGGCAGGGCTCGGCTGCCGGGCTTGGCTTGCGGTGCGGGGGATGAGTGATCGCTGGCAGCATACGTGCATTCACTCTCCCCTGCTGCTGCCCTGTTCCTCGCCACCACCTCCTCACGTTCACCCTCTCTGCTGCTTGTTATACGCCATGCTCCCTCTCCTCGCCATGCTCCCTCTCCTCGCCATGCTCCCTCTCCTCGCCATGCTCCCTCTCCTCGCCATGCTCCCTCTCCTCGCCATGCTCCCTCTCCTCGCCATGCTCCCTCTCCTCGCCATGCTCCCTCTCCTCGCCATGCTCCCTCTCCTCGCCATGCTCCCTCTCCTCGCCATGCTCCCTCTCCTCGCCATGCTCCCTCTCCTCGCCATGCTCCCTCTCCTCGCCATGCTCCCTCTCCTCGCCATGCTCCCTCTCCTCGCCATGCTCCCTCTCCTCGCCATGCTCCCTCTCCTCGCCATGCTCCCTCTCCTCGCCATGCTCCCTCTCCTCGCCATGCTCCCTCTCCTCGCCATGCTCCCTCTCCTCGCCATGCTCCCTCTCCTCGCCATGCTCCCTCTCCTCGCCATGCTCCCTCTCCTCGCCATGCTCCCTCTCCTCGCCATGCTCCCTCTCCTCGCCATGCTCCCTCTCCTCGCCATGCTCCCTCTCCTCGCCATGCTCCCTCTCCTCGCCATGCTCCCTCTCCTCGCCATGCTCCCTCTCCTCGCCATGCTCCCTCTCCTCGCCATGCTCCCTCTCCTCGCCATGCTCCCTCTCCTCGCCATGCTCCCTCTCCTCGCCATGCTCCCTCTCCTCGCCATGCTCCCTCTCCTCGCCATGCTCCCTCTCCTCGCCATGCCCAGTCCCCACCTTCGCTCCACCAACCCCTTCCATCCGCGCCCTCGATTCCAATCCCATCCCTCCAATCCGTTGCACCCCACTGCCCCTTTCCCGCCGCCCGCCCAGTTTCGGCGTGGTGCTGCTGCAACTGGTGACCGGGCGGCTGCCGATCGACGCCGCCCGGCAGCAGCTGACGATGTGGGCGGCGCCACTACTGGAGGAGGAGCGCTGGGAGGAGCTGCTGGACCCGCGCCTGCAGCGCGCCCTGCTGGGGCGGGTCAATGGGGGGGGCGGAGGGGGCGGGCGAGGGGGGGAGGACGCGGCAGGGGCGGGGGCAGGGGCAGCAGGGGAGTTGAGGCGGCTGGTGGCGGGGCGGTCGGTGGGGCGGTGTGTACAGCTGGCGGGCACGTGTCTTGACATGGACCCGCTGCAGCGCCCCTCCATGGAGGACGTCGCTCTCTCCCTGCTCGCCATCTACAGCTCAGGTGCGTGCCTGCCTGCCTCCCTGCCTGCCTGCCTGCCTGACTGCCCCCCCTTCCTGCATTACCCACTCCTCTCAATCACTCACCAATCTCAATTGCTGTCCTCCGTGCCCCCTCCCTCTCTTCCCTCCCTCCCCCCCCTCCAGCCTGCGCGGAGCGAGACGAGGCGCTGCAGCCGGCAAGCGAGGGCTTCAGAAGCGGCCGAATGCTGCCGCCCGCCGGCCCGTCAGACCCCACGCGGGCGGGGTCGGGGGGGAGTGGCATACCGGGGGCGGGTGGGGGGGGGAGCGGGGCAGTGGTGGGGGGAAGTGCGCGGATGACTGCTGGTAGTGGGGGGCTATCAGTGTCGCCTGAGAGGCCAGCCGGGACTGCCAAGGCGAGATTCCAAAGGTGCTGCTCTGCACGCCCACACCATGCCCCACGTGCTCTGCATTCCCTGTGCCCTCGTGTATTTCCCCTTGCTCTTGTGCATGCCCCATGTGCTGTTCCTGCCATGGCGCCTCACCCTTGTCTCTCTATCTCTCTCCCTCCCTCACTCTCGCTACACCAGGAACCGGTCAGCCCGGCACACGAGCTTTGGATGACACTGCACGCCCAGTGTACGTGGACTAGGTAGCAGCAATGCATGATGCTGCTGGGGCCACACAATGCATGCAGGGAGGCGTACAAGCATATTTATTAGCATGGCACGGTGGGGATGCAGTGCCTGAGCAGCCAGAGCAGGAAGGCTCGAGCCAGGCGTGCACCACCATAGCATGCCATGTTCCTTGCCACGCATCTATGTGCTCGCACTGTGTGCTCATGCGCTGGCAGCGGTGCAGTGTGCGCGCTGCTGAATAATAGTCCACCTGTTGAGTGCGGCCACGTAGGCAGGAGCAGCGAGGCGCATTGCCTTGTGGGTCTGTCATAGATGGAACCCTTGAGCCTTCCTGCTTCTCCATCCCATGCTGCTGAAGGTGCACGCACCTACACACATCATCTTCATCTCAGCCCAATGCAGCAGTGGGAGCAGTGCCATGCGCTTCTCAGTCCAGTGGGTGTGCGGCAGGGTGGGGAAAGATGCTCATACCAGTAGTAAAGGCACACTTAGACAACACCAGTGGACGCTTAGGTGTATCTGTATTACGGTACACTCATTATTTCATATTTGCCATACAGTCATTATCCTGCAGGCGTACTTGCCATCTAGTCATTACGGCGAAGCAAGGGCACTACAGGGTGTAGTATTGTACTATGTAGCAGCTACTAATACTGCTGTCTTTAATATCCCGGTCCCCTGCTGCCACGGCAGCGCATTAGCGTTGCGCCGTTAGCTCAGCTATCAATTTACCTTGGGTACGGTAGGGTAAGTCCAACGCAGTCTTGCTGCAAGCCTCAACGCAGCGCCACTGTTCTGCAAGGTAAGCCCGCCCCTTCAAGCGATGCCGTGTTCGCGGCGCCACGTTTCATAGAAGAGGTCGACCCACGTGTCGGGCAGGCCGGGCATGCAGGGGTGCAGGCAGTCCTGCGATTTGGGTCGCTGCGCGGCGATCATGGCGTCGGAGCGGGAGAGCGAGGGGTGCGTGATGTCCACCAGGCGGATGGTGCGGCTGCCCTTGAACACGCTCGCCTGCGACGGGTACCACACGCGGCTCTGCGAGTTGTTGCGCTCAAAGAACGAGTACTGCGCACGGGGGACAGGGGGAGTGGGGCGGGGAGGGGGGAGGGGGGAGGGGGAGCGGGTGAATGGCGATTGGCGGAGCAAGGGGTGCGTGAGAGGGGCAGCCGTGCGCTGTGTTTACGCGGGCGCCCTTCCTACACAGCCTCACAGCACGACCAGGCTCAGCATAAGCTGCTCGCATGGGTTAGGCGGGCCTGGTAGAAAGCAGGCATGATGCGTCCATTGACCGCCCCCAAGAGCCTCCGTGCCCCCTCTGCTCTGCATTCCCCTGTCTCCCGCCTCCCTCTCCCGACTGCACACCCCAAGCCTCCTCCTCCGCCTCTTTCCCCTTTCCCCCTTCCCCCAACGCACCATCTGCGGAGAGCTGGCGGCCTTGGCGCCCTGGCAGCCGGCGAGGCGCGGCGGCGCGGAGAGGAAGTACATGGGCGGCAGCCGCCACCGCTTCACGCTCTTCGCGTCGAACGTGCGCGCCAATCGCCGCAGCGCCATCCTGCGGAGGAGGTGCGGGGACGCGGGCAGGGAGTGGGAATGGGGAGCGGCGGGCGATGCGGATGAGGCGATGCGCAGGCCCGTGGGGAAGAGGGGGATGGCAGTGGAGCATGGGGCATGGGGCATGGAGCATGGGGCATGGGGCATGGGGCATGGGGCATGGGGCATTGCGAATGGGGCACGGTGCGGGCAGGGGGCGGGAGGGCGGGCATACTTGTAGGCCTGCACGGTGTTGGGCTCGGGCTTGATGAGCTGCCACTTGCGGTTCACGAAGAATCGCCGCAGCCACGTCTTGGCGTGCGGCCAGTGCGTCGCCGACTGGAACACCACCATCCCGAACCGCCCGACCTTGTCGAACCACGTGGGGTCGAACGTGTGGAGGTTCACGGCCGTGTCGCCCAGGCCGGGGTTGGTGACTTTAATGCGCGCCAGCACCTCGTTCTGCGTGGAGTAGGCCATGAGGAAGGGGCTCCAGTAGTTGACGATGGTCACGTTGTATGCCGCCACGCGCCACACGAACTTGCTCAGCCCGTCGTTCGTCACTTTGGTCACCGCCGACACGCGGTGCATCTGCGCGCGGATTGGGGGCGGGGATGAAGGAGGAAGTTGAGAAGGGTAGTGCGGGCGAGTCGCTGGTGGCAATGGCGCCACGCGCTAGGAGGGGCATTGTTGGGGTAAGGGCGAGAGGAAGGGAACGGGAGAGGAGCAACGAAGGCATACCTGGCAGAGCATGGAGGGAAGGAAGCCTTCGTACATGAGCGAGTCGCCCACCATCGCGATCACCCTGCGCGCCGCACCACGACGAGACAGGGAGGGAGGGCAGGGAAGGGGAGAGAGGGTGAGGCTCCGCGGGCTGGCGAGGAAGGGCTGCTTCTCGCGAGATTTACAGTGCGGCAGTGCGGCAGTGCCTGGACACAAACGGGTTAGTCCGATGCGGGATGGAGCAACTCACTTGTTCCGCATTCGCATCAAAAACTTGGCTGGCGAGAATCGTATTGTGCTCCCTCCACAGTTGCGCGGCTTCCATGAGTAGTACTGCACATCCCCAATACAAGCACATCGAACACGCGTGAGCATACAAGGAAGAACCCGCGTTGCGTAGAAAGGCGAAACTGGCAGTAAGACGCGAGGGAGAGGGATGACGAGGGCAGAGCATTGCGGTCGTACCATCCAGTTCGGGTCGAGTTTCCTCTTTGGGTCAAGGCAGTTGGTCGTGGGAGCGACGTCCTGCGCAGCCCAGCATCACAAGTCAACGCGAGTCAATGCAGTCCAACAAGTCAGGACGGCGATGGAGAGCACGCAGCAGGCATCCTAGTCGGAAACGGCTGATGTGATTCGACCCCGTGCGGCTCACGGAGCGCTGCGGAAAATGCGGGGCGCGGCGAACGGCCAGGCGAGCCGTGCGTCACGCGGTACGTTCGCAAAATGAGCGGGCAATGCGGCGCACCTTGAGGAAGGGGCACGTGGACATGTCGTAGGCGGGGCGGTTGGCGCGGTCCGACACCCACGAGCCGTCGTAGATGTCGCACGTCGACCCCGCCGCCTGCGTCGTCGCCACCTTGGCCTTCGCACCGTTCGTCGACTTCAGCGGATTATCCGCCGCTGGCGACGGCGGCGGCGGTGCCGCAGAGCTGCTTTCGGGGGACACGTCGCTATTCTGATTGCTGTTGCCGCTGCTGCTACTACTGCTGTTGTTTGCACTGTTGCTGCTACCTCTACTGGTGGTGCTGGCGGCGGTGGTGGAAGGCGAGTCAACGGAGAGCAGCGCCGGCATGTCGGCCAGCATGAGCTCCTGCTGGAACGTGTCGTCGCGATCCTTAAGCGCGCCACTCACGCCCGTGTCGCCCGTGTGGCTGTGGCTCCGCGGGGCGGATATGAGTAGCAGCGCGGACGCGAGTGCTATGCACCGCCATCTGAACGCGTGTGAGGATCTCATTGGCGCAAACAATGGTTAATCACTACTAGTTGGTTAATTCACCAGCCTTGCGCCCTACGCCTGGGGATGAGAGGTTAGAAGGAGGGTGTGAAGCTATGCGGCTCTTGAAAGCTGAATGCTGTGGAGGACAGGAACAGATGCGAGGTGCATCGGCTAGCATGGATTGGGAGTTATGACTTGGTTTTATCAGGCATGTTCGAGATCTCCATTGCTGGGCTGGTTGGCAGCACTACATGTCGACATGCCACTGACGGAGAGCGAATTCAAGACTGTTTGGAGAAACGTACACTAGCGGATCGCACCGCATGTGCGGCTCGGGGAAGGACATTGGACTGTGTGCGACCAGGCATGAGGCACGCACAATCGCACAGGCGAGGCGTCAGGTTTGAAAGCTGGGACCGCAACCCATCACAGGACCAAGGAGCCTTCGCCAATATATTGGCGGGCTCGCGCAAATAAAATTTCGGGTCGGTGAGAAGGTGTTTTGACGTCGCGAATTGGTCTTCGCGAAAGCTTGCCCGGGCTGCGACGGCACAGACCTTCGAAAAAAACGTTGTGCGAGCAATGTCTCCCGCTCGCGGACAAACGCCAGAATGGAAAGGGTGCTGTGACCATGCGTACAGAGTGTACAAAGATCGTTTACAGAGTATACGAATTGTATGTAAGGTTCAATTGTTTAATACACTTCAAAAAAATCACTCGTCAGCACGAGAAGACAGGTTATTGTGTGCACCTGTACAGCGAATGCATCCCGATGGATGTTGCGGAGAGTCCTCCCACTCGCATACTGCTGACCTTCACCGGCCAGGCCTTCCTTCGCGCCGCTAACCTGCAATCGCTCCTGCGCCCGCCTCCCGCCTCTGCGCCTTTGCGCCGCTATTATCCCCCCGTCCCACTCGCCACCTCTTTTCCGAACGTAACATGGCTTCTTCCACCCCGCCGCTCTGAATGGCCGCCCGGCATAGGCGGCATGAGCGGCGCAGGCGGCGCGGGTTATGAGGGCGTGGCGGCACCTCAAGTGCCCCCACCATGTTACATGTCCGCGCCGCTTCCGCGAATCGTGGAATTCCGCGCACCCCTCCCCCACCTGCCTATGCCCGCTCATGCGCTCCCTCAATGGACCCCTCATATTTCCGCGGCTGGGAACGACGCCGCCTCCTTGCGAGCAATCAGAAACTGCCGCGTGGCAGGCGATGACAGGCGGCCATGCGGTTATGAGTCTCGGGCGGCAGAAGCGGCCGCTGAGGCGGGAGGCGCAACGACGAGGGCGGACGATGGGGGCATGGCGGAAGGCAGGTGGGGAGAAAACACGGATTGGCGGGGAAAGAAGCGGCGGAGGGGGGAGAACGAGGGAAGCAGGTATGAGAGGGATTCGGTGCCAAGCGGTGGGCAGTGGGGGGTAGACAGGGAGGGAGGGGGGAGGGGAAACGGGAGAGGAAGCGGTCACGGGTCTGGGGGCAGAGGGCGCGGCGGGAATAAGCGCGCGGGGAAGGCTTCGAAGCGGTACGGGGCGCAGAGAGGGGCGGGGCGGAAGGCGCCCAAGCCACTGGCGTTCCCAGTCACATGCCCGGTGTGTCCTGACGTGGTGCTGACGTCACTGGGTGTGCTGCAGTCGCACTTGGCGGGTCGCAAGCACCAGGCCGCCGATGCTGGGCGCGCGCAGCGGGGGGGCGCGAGGGGGGCCGAGGCGCAGGGCGGGCAGGAGCAGGGGGGCCACGCGCATGACAAGCAGGGGCATGGGGGGAAGGGGCATGAGGGGGAGGGGCATGGGGGGAAGGGGCATGGGGAGGGGCATTGGTGGGAGGGGCATGGGGAGGGGGATGGGGGAGAGGGGCATGGGGGAGAGGGGCATGGGGGAAAGGGGCATTTGGGGGAGGGGCATGGGGGGGAGGGGCATTGGGGGGAGGGGCTTGTGGAGAAGGGACATGCTGACAGGCATAGAGGTGAGGGGGGCAGTGGCGCAGTGAATGGGGAAGATGGAGGGGGGGGTGTGGGTGGCATGGGGGGAGTGCAAGGGGAAACGGGGTTGGAGCACGGGGAACATGGCGGGTATGGGAAACATGGGGTGGATGAGACGCGATGGGCATGGAGGAGGGAGTGGCAGCAGGAGGAGAAGAAGAAACCGTACGTGGGGGAGTGGCGTGATGGGGGTGTGAAGGTGGAGCACACAGTAGAGATCATTGACCTGGGGGAGGATGAGACTGAAACAGACGAGAATGCGAAGAAAGAGGAGGAGGTGGAGATACTGGAGTTGGATGAGAGCGAGGAGGAGGACGTGAAAGAGGAGGCGCGTACTGGTGTCCAAGGGCAGGGCGAACAAGCGAGGGCCATGGGGTGGGCGAGTGAGGGGCCACCGTTTGTGGGGGGGTGGTGTGAGGTGTGTGGGGCGACGTGTCTGAACGAGAGCAACTACAAGTTCCACCTCAAAGGCAAACGCCACCGCTCCGCCCGCGCTGCCTCTCACACAGCCGCTGCTGCTGCTCCCGCTGCGCCTGTACCATGATGCCATGATGCCATGATGCTTGCAGCGCCTGCAGCTGCTGTGGCATGCTAGTAACTTGAAGGGATTGCAAGGGGCTGCAACCATTGAGAGTTAAGGTTGTTGCTGCTGCTATTGTTGTTGGTGTTGCTGTGTTGGTTTGCCACTTTTTTTCTTAGTGTTTGTTGCTGTAGTTGCTGCTCTCAGCCTACCGTACCGTATCAGTGCCACGTGGCCATGCCCCACCAACTCGTTGCATGGGTGGGCAGCGACACCCAAATGAGCCCAACTTGCCTGTTGCGTGTGTGCCCCAGCGGCCATCAGTACGGTATGGTCGCTGAGGAGCTTCACCAAGACTCGCTCAGTGCATCTCTGCCTTAGGGTGCAGGAGATTGAAATGAGCACGCACGGGCATGAAATGAAAAACAAAAAAACAAAGCAAGAACTGGGTCTAGGTTAACAACTGGACTGATGGCTCAATCAACACCCCTAGATTAACCCAAGCAGCTCCCATCGGCCCCAGCATCACGCTCCAGGTTGACAGCTGAGGTGACCCACTCCGTGTACCTGTTGGATACCGACCAAGACACTGCCTCTGCCTTACACGTGCTGCAGTCCATACGGTAGGCTGAGCTGAGCAGCCATGCCATGCCAAGGCATGCGTCTTGTGCAGCAGCATGGGTGGCATGACTCGTCACTCATGCATGACCTTGTTGTCACCACCCACAGCGCCTGCTAGCATGGCAGGCAGCAGCTGGGGAGAGGGGGTGGAAGCCTGTGTGCGGAGGCGGGCAAGGCGGGGCTGCAGGGTGGGAGTGAGTGGGCAAGCATGCAGTGGTGGCAGGCAGCCCCCACCCCACGGCCTCAAGGGCTGGTGCATGTGCTCGTACACACCGCGTGGCACTGCGGCTAATGCGCTGGGATGTTCGGGGGGACAGGGGAAGAGCAGCATACGGGCAATGGGGGTCGGACCAGGGTGGGAGGAGGGGGGCGTTGTGTTGTGTGTTGGTGTCTTGGCCAGGGGGGTCCAGGTGCAAGTCCCATGCGGTGGAGTGAGGCGGGGCGGAATGGTCAAGGTGAGAGTGCAGTGCCTCCTTGCAACCACCGCAAGCTCTCGCCTTTCCCACTTCCCCACTCACTACTGTCCTGCCACCATGACCATTTGGGAGCCGGATCTAATCCACAGCTGCTTGCAGTATCATATCACTGTGCCGTATCACCCACAGGTGGTCCTATCTATCTTGTGTATAGAGTAGAGAGGCACTATTACGGTAACCTGCCATAACAAGAAAAGCCTTCGTCTTGTCGATTATTCTAGCAGAAGCAACAACAATGCAATGGTTGGCTCCTGTTTTCCCTGGCTACTTGAAATAACCTGGAACAAGCTACATCAGAGCAACAACTTAGCTACAGCAGAGGCACTGCAGAGCTACACAGAGGTACAGAAGCTACAAATCTATGTACCCCAGGGCAAGAGGCAATCAAGAGCTGCATGGTGCAGGCAGGCAGCAGCACAGCGACCACCACCTCCTCATCTTTGCACATCTCACCCCCCCAGCACGGCCCGCTCTTTGCACATCTCACCCCCCCGCCCGCTCACTGCTCTCCGCCATCCCCCCACGCTCTCATCACTTGACCCACCATCTTTTCCACCTCCGCCCTCTCCCCCTCCCCCATCGCCTCCACCACTTCCCCCAGTGCTGCGCGCACAGCAGGGGTCGGGGGGACACAGGCGAGGGGGGGAAGCCAGAGGCGGAGGAAGAGGAGGCGAGTGGGGGAGGCGGGGGGAAGGGAGGGGAGGAGGCGCAGGGCGGGGAGCAGCACGGGGGGAATGAACGCGGCCAGGGGCGGCGGGAAGTGACTGGCGGATGATGGGGACGCGAAATAGGGGGAGCAGGCGGGGGAGGGGTGGGGGGACGGGAGGGCAGGAGAGTGCGAGGGCGAGGGCGAGGCAGGGATGGGGCGGGTGGCGGAGAGGAGGGCGGGGAGGTGTGCATCACATGCTAGCCATGCAGTCACGTGGTCGTGCAGGCCCATGCCCGCCATGGCGCCCACCATGCGCCCCACCTGCTGCACCGCCCCCTCGTACTCCGCCTCCGCCCTCCCCCGCTCCCCTCCTCCGCTCTCCCCTGCGCCACTCTCTGGCGGACTGCCCGTGCTGGGGGGTGAGGCGCGCCCCTCCGCGGCGAGGGCGTGCAGGAGGGCAGCGGCGGCGGCCTTGACGTGGCTGACGAGGCTGTGGAAGCGCGCCACCACCAGCCGCCGCGTCATCTCCTCCCGCACTTCCTGCCCCTCCTCCTCAGTCCCTTCCCCTCTTCCTGCCCCCTCTTCCGCCTCTTCACCCTTTTCCCCCTCGTGCGCCACCTCCTTCCCCCCTGCTGCCCCCTCCTCCGCCTCCTCCCTACCTGCTGCCCCCTCCTCCGCCTCTTCCCCCTCTAGCCCCTCCGCCGTTGCCACTCGCTCTCCCTCCCCCGGGCTGCAGCCCTCATCTGCCGCCTCCTCTCGCGCGCGCTCTTCCTCCGCCGCCACGCCGTGCTGCTCCGCCTTGATCTCGCCAATGCACCCCTCCTTCCCCACCGCTGCACGCGAATCTCCCCCCTCGCCCTCCCCCTCATCTGCGCCCCTCCTCTCCCGCCTCCCCACCGACGTGCGCCCGCCAGTACCTCCGCCCCTGGCGCCCCTCTCGCCCCCCGACTTGCTGCTCCTTTTCCCCGGCTCCGCTGCTCCCCCTGCGCCCGCCTTCGCAGTCGCGCTGCCCCACAATTCCCGCCTTCCGCTCGCTTTCGCCCACGCGCCTCCGCCTCCTGCCTTCGCTGCACCGCCGCCGCCGCCGCTGCTGCCCGCTCGGCTGCCAGCAGCGACAGGCGCCTTGGCAGCCCGTGCCGGCGCAGCAGCGACGGAGGCAGCAGCAGGGGCTGTGGAGACCCGGACAGGGCTGGCAGAGGAAGGCAGGGCGGCACACGCAGGCGAGGCGCCAGTGGCTGTGGACGCGTCAGTGGCGGTGGACGCGTCAACCGCCGTGCTGCTGCTCACTCCAGCCCCTGCCTCTACTTCCTTCGTCATCTCCGCTGCCTCTGTGTCCCTCTTTGCCGTTGCTTCTCTTGTTGCCTCTACTGTTTCCGCTTCTGCTGCTTCCACCTCTACTGTTTCCGCTTCTGCTGCTTCCGCCTCTGCTTCCGCATCTGCTGCTTCCGCCTCTGCTGCCTCCGCCTCTGTTGCTTCCGCCTCGGCTGTTTCCGCCTTTGTTGCTTCCGCCTCGGCTGTTTCCGCCTCTGTTGCTTCCGCCTCTGTTCCCACCCCACCTGTGCCCGCATCTCTCCGTGCTTCCGCCTCAGCCCGCCCCGCCCGTTCCATCTCCCTCCCCTCGCTGCCGCCCCGCACATCCTGCTCGTTCCGCTCCGCTTCTTGCTTTTCCGCACTGCCCTCTGGTTCTGCCATCCCCCCCCTACCAACGTCCCCAGCTCCCTCCGCTGACTTGTCTCCGCCAGGCACAACTGTGTCCTCCGCCCCTCTCTCTTGTCTACCCCCTGGTTCCCCGGCCTCCGGCCCTAAAGCACCCACACTCCGCTGCTCGTCTTCAATTCCCGCGCCCTCATTCCTCCCGACCTCGTCTGTCGCTTCCTTCACTCGCTCTCCGCTGCCCGGCTGCGCGGCTTCTGCGGGCAGCAGCGCATCGGGGGTCATTGGCGCGACAGGAGCGCCAGCCTCGCGCGCCAGCTGCAGCAAGTAGGGCGTGCGGGAGGGGGTTCTTCGGGGAGTCGCGCCTCCCGCCTGCTCGCCCGACTTTCCGCCGGCAGCAGCGGCGGCACTGGCGGCGAACAACGCGGAGCCGCCAGACGAGCGGAGGTCGGTGGAGCGCGGAAAGGCGGGTAGGCGCGAAGGCAGGCAGGCGCGGTGCCCGGGGCAGGCATGCGCGCAGAGGTGGTTGCGCGGCGGGGAGGCGGGGAGCGCGAGGGGGAAGGGGAAGGGGATGGTGGTGAGGCCGGGCGTGGCGTCGACGACGACGAGCGTGAGCAGACACGCGAACAGCAGCAGCACGTACTGCGCCGCCAGGAACCACAACGGCTCCACGCCTGCGAGAGAAAGGCATGCGGATGGGTAGGGGCAACGGGGATAGGAGTCAAAGGGCGCACATGGAAGGTGCAGCAGATGCAGTGGATGGGGCAGGCGAGAGGACAAGCGCGGTGCGGGCACTACTTGGGAAGACTAGCGGGTGCGGGCGGTACCTGGGAAGAGCGGCTGGCGGACGGACTCGGTGAAGAAGCCGAGCGACGTGAAGGCGACGGCGGAGATGGCGGCGTGCCCCACCACGTGCGCGTCGCACATCAGCACGAAGTCCGCCGTCGCCGTGCGCAACACCCTAGCGCCGCCGTACCTGGCGGGGCAAGAGGCCGTGGGGACATGGGGGGAAGAAAATGTGGGGGGAAGGCAGCATGCGGCAAGGATGATGAGAGCCATGCGGTGGGCGCACAGGGGAATGGACGGCACTGCTCCGCGGGAGCGACGCGAGGGGCGCACTTCTAGCAACAACGAGTTTCCGCGGCTGCGCGGGGGATTCGTGCACGACATGTGCTCCGTGGAGCTGCCTTGGGCCAACCCGAAGGCACTAGGGAAGCAAGGCAGTGAGGAAGCAAGCGCGCATGCCTCACCGCGGCGAGTTGGGCGGGAGGCGCTTGAGGAAGGCGAGGAGCGTGGAGGCGAGGAGGCACCAGATGAGCGCCACCGTGATCGCCGTCTTGCGACTCGCCGCGTCGCCCGCGCACGACGCCAACACCTGCGCGCACCCCACACGGGCAGACGCACGAGGCGATAGCGCGGGATGGAGGGAGAGGGGTGGTGGCAGGAGAAAGTGCTAAGGACGGGGCAGCGAAGGAGGAAGTAAGCGACGGGCAAGAAAACGAATAAAGGAAACAGCGAGAGCTGGGAGGAAGGGAAGCATGGGGGGCGCGGAGCGGGACGCACGAAGGCAAAGTTGAGGACGAGCAGCGAGCCGAAGGGGAAGTACTTGGAGAGGCGCGCCGGGAAAAAACACTGCGTGCCGTCCGTCACACCCGCGGACCTCGCTGCGCCCCGCCCCCGCTGTCGCTGCGCATGCGCCGGGCCTGCCATGCCGAGGAGGGGATGAGATGAAGAGGCGCGGATGGAGGGGGTAGAGTCAGCCCAAGCGGTTAACCGGGATTGTGAGACGCGTGGGCGCGGAGCACGAGTGGGCACCTACCTGCCCATACGAGGCCGCTCTTGCGATTCTCGCGCGGGCTCGTTCCGTCGTCCACTTGTATCCACGCCTCGCCCGCTGCCTCGCCCGACGGCTCTAAGTCCGCCCCCGACATGATCGCCCGCGCTCCCTCTCAGCTAGTCGCACTGCTAGTCGCTCTGCTAGTCGCACTCTGTTCGCCGCTAATGACGTTCCTGTGTCTACCAATTTGTCTTCGCGTCCGCGCTACGAAATGCTCGCTCACACCTGGTTGCCTTCGACCACCTTTCGCAAATCACCCAGTCAAGCTTCTGCAATCCTACCTCTTCCTCCCCCCTCTTCCCTTCGCCCCACCTCTTCCTCCCCCCTCGGAACCTTTTCTGGGTCATTGTCAAGCAAATTCGATTAGAAAAGACGCGGCTCGACTCCCGTGCATTGAGAATGGACGAACGTGAGTGATGTGAATTCGCCAAGGATGCCCGACTCGGACAAGGCAGGGACGTGCGAGAAGAGTTTCGTCCACATGTAGTGTAATGACTCGTGATACACTGGGCTGGTTTTCGGTATGCGTATAATAAAAGAAAAAGGTTAATTTGGTGATACTTTTCAAATAACCTCGTTATTGTACTCATCGACCCCAAACAGAAACAGCGACTGCTCGTCATGCGCACTTTTGACTCGTCTGCGCGATTCGATACGTTTCGCTCAACCAGCTGCGACAAACCAAATCTTTGCCACCCCAGCACCACCGCGGGGGGGAGATCAGGCAGGCGACTGCGCATCACAATTGTCGCTTGCGCCGTTCCGACTTTCACCCGCGCGTTGTACATTGGGTTGGGGAAGGGGGTCTCTGCAACTCCCCCCCACACCAGACACAGGGGGGACCAGAAAACAGGTCGGTCGGTGTTGCCCTGCCCGCATAGTCACATACATTACCATTTTTTTCGTGAAAGTTGTTGAAGTCGCATGGAGTCGCACACTCGGCTACGAAGTACTGACGTTAGACATTGGAGCACAATTACCGATGCCATGCGAGCACCGTGTGCGATGAACGAGGCCCACGCATGCAGCGATGCGTGGCGGTAGTTGTGCGCCCGTGCTATCGCCCCTCGTTCCTCTTCTCCCACGTGTCGCCACGCCGCCACCGCTTCGCAATCTGTCCTGTGCCCGCCTTCGCGCTGCACCTCCCGCTCGCCACTATGGGCTGCGCTAGTTCCGCCCCCACCGCCAACGCGGCAGCGGGGGAGGTTGGGAATGGCGGCGAGGGCCAGGCGGAGGAGTGGACGCTGTGCGGATGTGGGGGAAATCGGCGCGCTAAGGAGGGCAAGGTGCGGACGCAGGCGGGCGGGGAAAAGAGGCGGAGGACCAGGGAAAACGAGGCGCAGAAAGAGGAGGCATTGAGGGACGGGCGCGCGATTAAGAACGAGCGGAACGCGGAAGTGATGCGCGGTGGGGACCGAGGCGAGGAGAGGGACGAGGGGAAAGAAGCGCACGAGGGGAGAGTGGGAGGCAAGGTGCGCGCAGAGGGCGGGCAGAATGGCGCGGAGCTTTGCGATTGCACGGGGATGGACGGCGGAGCAGGGGGCGGCACGCTCAAGGTGCGCAGCACTGAGGGGGCTGCGGGCAGGGGGAGGGTGCAGGCAGGGCGCGCTCTGGCCTGGCAACGAGGTAGGCGCGGCGAGGTGGGGGGGAGGGATGCGCGCGGTAGATGGGCGGAGCACGGGGGATTTAGGGATGCGCGGGATGACTGCGGGCGCACTGGATGATGGTGGGGTGTAAGGGGTGGGCAGCGGAATGGTGGATGCGAGGGCGCACGTGGGCGTGCATGTGCACGAGTCCCTTGACATGCGTATCTGTGTGTGTGTGTGTGTGTGTGTGTGTGTGTGTGTGTGTGTGTGTGTGTGTGTGTGTGTCCCTGTGTGCTTTTATCCGTGATTGCAGCAAGCAGAGCAAGCAGCAGCAGCAGGCACCCAGCCCGGGGAGGCAGCGACAGCAGCAGTACAGGGCGCTTCACCAACCACACGGTGCGCCTTCACATGCCACCTCCCCTTCCTCTCTCTGCCTCTCCTGTGCCTGCTACCTTTCACATGCCGCATCATCGCCATAACACGCCACTCCCCTTTATTCACAGCCCCCACCGCCCATCTCCCACGGCCCACCATTGCAGGAGCGCGCTGCCCCCACGGCCCACCCAGCTCGGCCAATCCGCGGCCAGCATGCAATCCCCCACCAGGTGCCATATTCCCTTGCCGCCACGTGCCATTCCACTTTGCTGCTCCGCTTCCTGCCCGTGCCGTCTCCTCAATGCCCCCCACGCCATGCTCACTTTTGCTGGAGCCCGTGTGTGTGTGTGTGCATGGTATGGCATGTGTGCGTGGTATGGCATGTGTGCGTGGTATGGCATGTGTGCGTGGTATGGCATGTGTGTGTGGTATGGCATGTGTGCGTGGTATGGCATGTGTGCATGGTATCTCATGTGCACGGCACAGCAGGGTGGGCGTGCTGGCGTTCGAGGTGGCAGCAGCGGTGGTGAGGGCGGGGGTGGTGCGGCAGTCAGTGGAGGGCGAGGACGTGGACGAGCTGCGCAGGGAGGTGCTGGCGTCCGATGGCATCGCCTTCCTCCTCTCCTCCGACTTCAACCACGTCTGGCACATCGCCGCCCGCGATAAGTGGTCAGTCTCGCACATTCCTGCTTGCGCTGTCTGCTCTTTGCCTCCTTCCTCGCTGCGTGCAACAATCTCTCGTGCCCAAATCTGCAGCTCGATTGAATTGTTCCTTTATGTGCACCCCTACCCTTTCCCTCCCCCTCCACCACCCCCTACCCACCCACCCCCCTTCACCCCCATGGCTACTGCATGCAGGGAGGAGGTGGGGCGGCTGGCAGCGAGTGTGGTGCATCTCGGCTCGCAGTGCACCGACACCGCTCTGCACTCCCTCGCCCTCCGCTTCTCCAGGTCCGCTCGCCACCCGGGCGGCATGCAACACTGTAGCAGGTGCACTGGGGGGCCGGGTGGCAGGGGATGCGCAGAGTGCAGTGGTGGTGGGAGGTGGCAGGGCGGCCACAGTACAGCAGCGAGCGCATGATCATGGCTGTTACCCCATTCACAGTCACCCCCGTGACTTTTGAGTCGACTCAAAAGTTTCCCCCATTCACAGTCACCCCCGTGCTCCCTGTGCTGTGCCTACCCGCCTTGCTCCCCAACTCGGGACCCAATGCCTGCATTCCATAGATGCTTCTTACACCGCCTTCCACCCCCCTGCCCATCCCTCGCCCCGTGCCTTGTCTCCCTCTCGCATCCCAGCCTGGCTGCAGCAGTGAGGGAGCGGCAGGGGGGTGGGGGGGAGGAGCAGGGGGGGGTGGAGGAGAGGGAGGAGGGGGAGGCGGTGGACGAGCTGCTGCTGCAGCTGGAGGAGGACGCTCAGATCACCATGGTGAGCCGCTGACGTCAGTGGGTTGAGCTGCTGACGTCAGTGCGTCAGCGAGGTGGTGACGTGGGCATGGTGTGATGTGTTGTTGTGGATGTTGGCATTGCGGGATGGTTTCACTGCCATTTGCCCACATGCCACCACCCATTCCCACGGCCCACCTCATACATGCTCGCTGACCTCCCATGCCCGTGCGCTCCCCATCACCTGTCTTGCCGCCATGCATGAGTGCAGGAGCTGAGGCGCGAGGTGCTGCTGCTGGAGGCCATGCGGCGCGACATGGATGCCACCTGCGATACTGCTGCTCATGCTGGCGATGCTGGGGGCGATCATTGGGGTGAACATGGGGGTGAACATGGGGGTGAACATGGGGGTGAACATGGGGGTTAGCATGGGGTTGAACATGGGGGTGAACATGGGGGCGATGGGGGTGCTGGTGGTGATGGTGATGATGTGGATTATAGTGCATGTGGTGAGACCGTGCATTTGAAGAGACCTGCATGTGGGGAGGCATGCCAGCAAAGAGGCATGCATGTGTTGTGTTGCGGCACTCACATCACACGTGGTGCGGTGGTGTGGTGGTGTGTGCAGGGGAGAGGGCGGCGGAGCTGAGGGCACAGAAGGAGCGGGTGCGCGCCATGCAGGAGAGCTCGTTGTGGGACCGCCCGCTCCATGAGGTGATGCCCTGCCATGCATGGCGTGGCATGACATGGGATGGTACAGTCATGTGGTGTCATGTGGTGTGATGTGTTATGAGTTGGGGATCATGCATGAGTATTACGAAAGGGATGATGCTCCTATTCGCATCACTGCACCACCAGAACCGTCTGATCCTCTCCTCCACCCAACCCGCCCCCTAACCCCCATTCAGTTGGTGCGCCAGCTGGCGCGGGTCGTGGATCATCTCATCCGCCTCGTCTCCTCCACCTTCGGCCCGCTGCGTGAGTGCATAGTGCATCGCTCTCCGCCCTACCTCACTGCGTCCATTATCACCCTTCCATTCTCACACCCTTCCGTCCCAACCCCCCCCCCACTCCCCCCCGAGTTTCTTCCCAAACACTCTCCTTCACATCTCGCCCCTCTCATCCCCGGCCCCCAACGCCCCGCCAGCACCGGACGTCCCTCTGCTGCCAGTGCGAGGGAAAGGCGCACAGGCGGAGGGGGGGAGGGACGGGCAGGCGGATGGGGGGAGGGGCGGGGAGGCGGAGGGGGGGAGGAAGCTGGGGGAGTCGGGCATGGCACTGGCGTATGCACGCCTCATCATCGCCATCGACCTGCTGGTGAGGCACCACCCACCTCTTGCTGCTCACATGCCCCCGCTTGCTGCTGAGACGGCAGCATTGCTGGTGGTGTAAGCAGTCTTGGAGAGACGAGTACCTGTGGCGAGGCATCTGTCAGCTTCACCACTGCACTCGCACTGTCCCCACTCCCCCCCTCTGCACGTCTACTCCTCTCCCTTGACCCCTCCCCGCTCTCCCCCTCCTTCCTTCCTCCCTGTGGCGGGAGCAGGTGGGCATGCAGGGGGCGGAGAGTCGGAGGGACTACCTGTACTCGCTGCTGCCACACTCGCTGCGATGCAAACTCAAGGGGGCGCTGCTGCAGTCACAACACATCTGCATGGTGGGCAGTCGATAAATTTTCATGTCTAAGCTTGTCTCTTCTTTTTCTCGTGCATAGTGTGGTTGTGGCATGCCATGCCATGCTGAGCCATCCCATGCCTGCCATGCCAGCCCTCCACGTGAAACCTGAATGCAGGTCATGCTGTGCTCCAAGTGGGCATCCCGTGGGCGTTGAGTCGTCTCCTTCTATTCATGGCATGGCACACGATTGCCCTGGGCTGTGTTGTTGTGGCATGATGTGGTGGGCTCGCATGACATGGATGGCACGTGGGTGGCACTGATGGTATGTGGGTGTGGCGTGCACGGCATGGCATGGGTTGCAGGAGAGCACGGAGAGCATAGAGGAGAAGCTGGAAGGCGTGTTGGACTGGCTAGTCACCATGGCAGACAACACCATCAGGTGATTCCAACACCATCAGGTGATTCCAACACCATCAGGTGATTCCAACACCATTAGGTGATTCCAACACCATCAGGTGATTCCAACACCATCAGGTGATTCCAACACCATCAGGTGATTCCAGCACCATCAGGTGATTCCTACACCATCAGATGATTTCAACACCATCAGGTGATTCCTACACCATCAGGTGATTCCAACACCATCAGGTGATTCCAACACTATCAGGTGATTCCAACACCATCAGGTGATTCCAACTCCATGCAGTGTTCCATCAACGTTTTAACATTATCTTTCCATATCCCCATTCTGCTCTTCCCAACCTGCTCCTCTCTGCCCCTCTCCCCACCTCTCCCCTCCAAGCAGGTACGCGAGTGACGTGCGGGTGCGGGGAGGCAGTGCGTTGAGTCGCCTGCAGACACTGCAGCACGTGGAGGAGGCGCGCATGGAGCGCCTCGTGCTGTTGCTGCTCATCGGCCTGCAGCACCTCGCCAGCCGCCAGCAGCTCCCCCCTCCCCCCGCCCCCGCACGCACACCTGCACCTGCCCCCTCCACCGCCCCACCACACGGGGTGGGCGAGGGGGGGAATGGCAGCAGCGGGGGCGGGCCCAGTGGCAAGTATGCCATGACAGGCGCTGGGGGCGGCCCGTGGGGCGCTGGCAGAGGCGCAGGCAGGGCGGGTGGTGGCGCAGCAGAGAGGAGGGGCGGGGGTGCGGGGGAAGAGGGGAGAGAGACGAGAGAAGGGGCAGGGCAGGAGGGTGAGGGGGGGAGCGGCAGTGGCAAGGGGGTGAGCAGGGAGGCAGCGGGCAGTGGAGGGGTTGCTTTACCCGCTACTCCAGGTGGTGGTGGTGGGGTTGGTGGCAGGGAGAGGGGGTGGGCGAGTCACACGCGGGTGTGGCACCCCATCCCATGCACCGCCATCAGAGCCCCCTACCCTCCCCCTGCCGCCCACGTGGCAGCTGACTTGGCCAGTGACGTGGCAGGTATGGAGGGTCACTCGCCAAGCGTGCCTGCAGCAGGGCCAGGCGGCGAGGAGCGAGCCGTGGGGTCGGTGGCAGCACATGCAGCGGTGGGCCCGTGGGGGCAAGAGGCAGAGCGAGGCGATGCAGGCACAGCAGAGGCAGGGAGCGGGTTGATGGCAGCAGAGGGTACATGCGAGGAGACCGGCGAGGGCAGGGCGCCGAGCAGCGAGGGGCGCGTGGGCAGCCCCGGTGGCATGCAGGACGTGCCTCCCATCGACCTGCACGCTGCTGCTCTGTCCTCCCACCCGCAGTGGTCACCCGGGTCAGGCAGCGACCCCCCTTCCCCCGCCCCGCTGCCGTGGTCGGGGCCGCTGAGCGAGCGCAGCAGCGTGGGGCGCGCGTCCCAGGCCAGCAGCCCCGGTGGCGTGGCGTGGAGTGGCGGTGTGCGGCGCACGGGCAGTGCGGAGGGCAGCAGGGAGGGCGAGGGCGTGGAGGAGTGGAGCGAGATCCTGGCCCACTTGTCGTCCGCTGCTCGCGGTGCCGTGGGGGGGTTGGGCGGGGTGGGGACAGGGGAGGGTGATGGGGGGATTGTTATGGAGAGTGCAGTGATGGTGGGAGGTGAGGGTGTGGAGAATGTGAGTGTGGGGAGTGTGAGCAGTGGGAGGCGGGAATGGAGGGTGCCACAGAGTGTGCCTGAGGAGGAGGAGGAAGGCGAGGAGGGAGAGGCCAGGGGTAAGGAGGATCAAGGGGAACGAGAGGAGCAAGATAGCAGTACAGTTCACAGCGGCACAGGGGAAGTAGCTCCACCAGCAGCCGAGCCAGCAGTGTTGCCGCCATTGGTGGAATCAAACACGTGTCCATCTGTCCCTCCCTTATCTCATCTGCCCACCGAGCCTTTCACCCCTGGGTCTCTTATGCCGCCGTCGCCCTCTGCTGCCATGCCACCGCGCTCTGAGCTGCTTGCCAGTGCAGCGCCTGCAGCAGGTGGTGTGGATGACTCCCCGGCCACCACTGTGCTTGCCGCCGCCGCTCCCAGCAGTGTAGCGGCAGAAAGTGGGCCGGTGGCGAGGGTGCGGGCGAGGGCCCCTCGGCCGGGGTGGAAGAGCAAGAGCCAGCCGCTGGAGCGACTGGCGGCGCGCATGAAGCAGCGGCAGCAGCGGGCAGCGGGGCAGCTGCAGGAGAGCACAGGCGTGGCGGGCAGAGGAGGCAGCCCCCAGCTGCAGCTGCAGGGCGATGGACCCGGCAGGGGGCTGGCAGGGCGACAGTCGGTCTCGCGCACTCTGAGTCGCCTGCAGCAGCAGCACACCAACAGCCTCACCGCCTCCTCTGCTGGCGGCGCTGCCCTGGGCGCGGACTCCCCCCTCCACGCACGCGTGCTGCGCCGCGCGCTCACTCCCAACCCCAGCGCTGCTGCTGGCGGCAGCCACAGCGGAGGGCTGGAGAGGCGCGTGGGGAGGGGGCTCGGGGGCGCATGGGAGGGGGACATGGGGGTGGAGGGGGAGGAGGAGGAGGAGGCAGACATCGATCGCATTCTGGATGCGCGGCCTAACATGGACATCAGTGCTCTCAGCCCCATGCTCATGCGCTCCCCCTCCTTTGGCCGCCAGCAGTACTGGATGGTGTGAGGTGCAGTGCGGTGCCAGTGGCATGGCCCCGTGTGCTGCGTTCTGTTTTTGCCCGCTCATTTATTAGTAGCTCCCATTGGCGTTGTCTAAGCTGGGGGCATGTCTAGGAGCAGGTTAAACAGAGAACCATAAACAGGTAGGGAGTGCCCCTTCACTTCCATGCTATGGAGTTGCTTTGCCATCGAGTGTAGCATTGTTTCACCAGAGTAGTACAAACCCGCTGTATTGAATGTCACTGCTCATCACGTAAAGCACGCTCTTTTCATGCTTCTATGTTTCTTTGTGGCTGCACACAAGATACGGTACAAGGCTTACACCGTGATTGCTGTATCGTGTTGGATGGAAGCATGCTTTGTCACAATAGTAGCCTAGGCAACTCTTGCAGCTCACCAAGAATTGTCTAATACCGTAATCACTACGGTATCTTGCTTTAAAGTAAGGTGCCCACGTTGGTGCTTCAATTTCACTGCATGTACCCCCACTTGCTTCCATTCCAAACTCGAAGCTGTCAACACCACCAGGGGGTGTGGGTCCCATTAACCTTCTCATCAAGAGATGAATCGAACTTCTGAATGTGTTGAGCTCAGCGGCATGCCTGCCAACATGCTGCCATGGCTAATTGGGACCGTGAGCAGAGGCGGCTTCTACTGCCTCCTGACATGGCAGGGGCACAGGCGGAGCGAGAGGCTGGCACGCACACCAGTTATTGTACTGCTGCTTGCCCCCACAGCCCTCGGACCCGTGGAGTCATCCAAGCACCGCATGACACGCCAGTGCAGCCCACTCACGCTCTACCACAGACCCCAGGCTCGCTTCTTCTTCTCCTTGCCTCCCTCCCCGTCTTCTTTCTTGCCCCCTCCACTTGTCTCCCCCGCTGCCCCGCCATCCGCATCCTCCTTGCCATGCTGCTCTCCCTGCGCCCCCCCATCCTCCTCCTTCTCCCACTCCTCCAACAGCTTCCTCTGCCGCTCCGTCAGCTCCCTGCACGGTCAAGGTGGGATGGGTGGGATGGGTGGGAAGGGCACGGGCAGTGCAAGAAGATTGGTGGATGGGCAGTGCAAGAGGATTGGTGGATGGGAGAGGGTGCAAGGTAAGCCGAAAAGCAGAGCCAACAGCAAAGCAGAGACTAAGCGGATGTGCGCGCAATGGGGGATGTGAAAAGGAGGGCAATGAGGGAAGTGAGAGGTGAGGCAACCATGGAGGTGAGAGGAGGGGCAGTGAAGGAGGAGGGGAGGGGCAATGAGGGAGGAGCGGAGGGGCGAGTGGGCAGCAGACGCACGTGGGCACGGCAACATTGACGTGCACAAACTGACTCCCCACTCGGCGACTCGTGGCCGATCGCACTCCTGCGCGTGGCCAAAGGGAAAGATAGGGGAGGGACAGCGGGGACGAAATGGGAAAGGAAATGGGGAAGAGAGATGGAGGAGGGGAAACAGGTACGAATGTGAAGTGAAACGGCCATGGGTGCACAGCAAACAGGAACCCGTAAGTTTGAAGGTAGCAGATTAACGGTGGAGCAGCTGGGCAGATAGGGGGTGAGCAAGGCGAAGGTTGGGTGCATTGCAAGGTGGCGCACCTTTATCGCGCAGCTGGAGCACCTGGCCTGGCTGCGTGCCCGGCTTGATCTGCACGCACACCGCATTGGCAGCACGGCACGTGCATGGCGGCAAGGGATGACATGCGCATTAAGGCATGAGCAAGGCATGTGCATGGCAAGTGGCTACCGAACTGCGAGTGTGGGAAGCAAATGCCTCTAGGCAACGGCAACAGCGTGAAGTCAATGCATCGACCCAAGTAGCGTGTAAGTGCATCAACATGGCATGTCATGGATGGCATGGCATGACAGGGCATGAGCAGCAGCACCTTAAGGATGACCTCCCCTGAGAGTGTTGGCACCGGCACTGATGCTCCCAGACACGCCTGGCAGACACACAGGCCATGGCAGAGGGCAATAGCAAGGGCGATGGCAGGGGCATAAGGGGGCCGTGGGAGAGTTGTGGCTTGGAGGCGCAAGCAGGAGAGGAGAGGGGATACGATGTTCATACAGGGGAAACAAGGGCATGATAGGTAGGGCTGGGAGGATACGTATGGGAACGAGAAACGGTGCGCACATGATAGGACAGGGAGCATGAGGAGCAGAGGGGGGGGTGGCACCTGGGGGAAGGACACGTGGAGGTCCACGTGGATGTCGTTACCGTCCCTCTTGAACACCGCGTCCTCCTCCACCTGGCGCATGGCGCATGGCGCACGGGGCATGGGGCACGGCGCAGGGACATGGGGTAAGGGGCAGTGGGACGGGGCATGGTGCAGGGGGGAGTGAGTGGATGAGAGAGATGAGGAACCAGCTGGCAGCACCTGCACAGGACGAAGCTGAATGTTCAGCAGCAGGTCACCTGAATGTTCAGCAGCAGGTCACCTGAATGTTCAGCAGCAGGTCACCTGAATGCTCAGCAGCAGGTCACCTGAATGTTCAGCAGCAGGGCACCTGAATGTTCAGCAGCAGGTCACCTGAATGTTCAGCAGCAGGTCCCCAGGTGGCGCCCCTTTCCCTCCTGCGCCTCCCTGCCCCGGCACCCTCAGAGTCACTCCCGAGTCCACCCCTGCTCGCCGCCCCACACCCGTGTTGACACAGGAGAGAGAAGGGACGGAAAGGGACGAGAGGGTCGGTGGAAGAGCAGTGGAAGGGGTTGATGGGAAAAGAAGGGTCTCTAGAGACGGCGGATGGAATGGAGTTGCAAGAGGATGTGAACGGTGCAAGGCTGGGCGGCAGGGAGTGGGAAGAGCAAAGAGCATGGGCATTGGGCAGGTTGAGCTGGTTGCAGTGCTCCCAGGAAGTGGCTCATCCTCCCTGCTGCTGCCATCCCATGTGCTCCACCAACCATCTGCTCCCACCCACCCACCTGCTGGTATGGAGACATCCACTTCTCGCCTCTCCTTCACTGTGCCCTCCCCATGGCATGTCTTGCACCACTCCTGATGTGTGCATGCATGCATACATGATGCCAGGATGCCATAGTGCCATGATGTCATGATGCCATGATGCCGTGATATTATGTGGAACGAGAGGGTACACATGGGAGGGCAGATTTAGGGAAAGGACAAGAGCCAAGCGACAAGGGGTGTGAGCAGAATCAAGGATAATGGGAAGGTGAGGAAAGGGAGTGGTACGCAGAAGCGGCACACAGGCAGCAGTGCGCGCACCTTGACAAAGACGCACCTTGACAAAGGCGCACCTTGACAAAGACGCACCTTGACAAAGACGCACCTTGACAAAGACGCACCTTGACAAAGACGCACCTTGACAAATACGCACCTTGACAAAGACGCACCTTGACAAAGACGCACCTTGACAAATACGCCCTGGCCGCCGCAGGAGGAGCACGTCTGCATCACCACTGATGCACCCATCCGCCGCATCTCCTGCTCCCACCACGTGGGGTTAGAGGGGACACAGGAGTTGTGTGGTTGGGAGACGGAAGGGCACATTTATGCGAGGACAGAGAGGAGAGGCGAGGAGAAGGGGAGACGAAGCGAGGGGAGGGGGTGGGGTACTGACCATGCCTTGGCCCTTGCACGCCTTGCATGGGGTGGGCTGGTACCCCTTGGGCATGCCTGATCCGCCTGCAATAAGGGGGAGAGCCAATTGGGCGAGCAGCGCACAGAGGCAGGGAGGACAGTGCCGCATTAACAAAGAAATTGGGCAGACTAATAACACAGAGTGCTGTTTCGTATCAGCAGAGAGCACTCACTGCAGGAGGAGCAGCGCACGGGAGCAGAGAAGGAGAGGTGGCGCGAGCAGCCGTCCACAGCCTCCCTCAGCGTCAGCTTCACCGCCATCTGCACACTCTCGCCCCCCCTCGGCCCCGCCGCCCCCATGCCCATGCCCATACCCATGCCGCCCATGCCGCCCATGCGCCCAAAGATGCCGCCCAGCATCTGGGGGAGCCGGGGCAAGGGTGGGAGGGGAGGGGGGCAGGTGAACGGAGTAGGGGAGGAGGGGGGCATGGGGGGCAGCAAGTGTGGTGCAAGCATGGGGTGGGAGAAGCAGGTGCTGGTGACAGATGGAGTGCCACTGCGCCACCCGCACAGTGCAGTGACGTGTGACGTGCAGTGCAATGCAGTGCATGTGCGGTGCAGTGCGGTGCAGTGAAGTGCACACACCTCTTCGAAGTCCGACGGCCCTCCGAAGCCAGAGAATCCGCCGAAGCCCTGAGCGCCCGCCCCTGCGCCCGGGCCCCCAGCTGCCCCCCCCTCAAACGCCTCCGGACCAACCTGGGGCGGCAGGTGGGGGAGGAGGTGCGGATAGCAGGGAGACAGGAGACAGGGCAGAAGAGGGGGAACAAGGAGAAAGTGGGAGGGGAAGGCTGACTGAGGGGCACGGAGAGCGAGGCAAGCTGTGAGGCGTGAACACAAAAGAAATATGAGAACAGCACAAGGAAGTGAGTGGGGTAGAAAGGAGAACAATTGCGCATGGATGCGTCATGTGGGAATGTGATGGTGAGTGAAACATGGCATACCTGATCGTACATGGCCCTCTTTTCATCATCCTTTAGCACCTGCATGGAGAGACGCACACGCACTCGCACAGGCACATGCACACACACACGCACCCACGCACGCACGCACACACACATGCACACACTTGCTCACACACGTGTCACACACGTGTCACACACGTGTCACACACACGGCATGCATAGGTGAAAGTTCAGCATGCAGGCCGGCACGCGAACAAGCAAGCAAGTGGCATTTCACAATTCACACAGTACAATGGCAGAGACAGACGAGAGCAGCACGTAGGGCGGAGAAGGAAGCGAACATGTGATGAGATGAGCCCACACCGGCCCTGCCCTGCCACCTACCTCCCACTGCCTGCTGCCAGCAAACCCCCCCTCCCTACCTCGTACGCCTGCTGAGCCTCTTGGAACTTCTTGGCTGCATTGGGGTCGTCCTTGTTGGCATCCGGGTGGTACTTCTTAGCCAGCTGCCACCCCACCACACCACGCCCCACCACGCCCCACCGCGGAGGAGGAGCAGGGTGGAGCAGGCCAGGCAAGGAGGGGGGGGGGGGGGGGGGGGGGGGGCAGGAGGGGCGGGGAGCGAAGAAGAGGGTATTATGTCAAAGACGCACCCAGTAAACCGTGACAAGGGATGCAACGAGTCAAAGCAAGCAGTGACACTTGCGAGCACATAGTGGTAATGGCATGGTGACATGACGGCACGAACCGCATAGAAGGCCTTTTTGATTTCAGCAGCCGTTGCCGTCCTTGACACCCCCAATACCGCATAGTAGTCCCGCCCCCTCCCCCCCGCTGCTGCTGCCGCTGCCGCTGCCGTGCCTGGGAGTGAGAGGCAAGCGAGGGGCGGATGGAAAGGACAGGACGGGAAGAATACGAATGAAACTGCTGCCGTGGCCCACTCACATTCACAATCACACCCACACTCACAATCATTCAGCCATACTTACACTCACTCAAACGCACTCATAATCACACACACATCAACCAACGCACATCCACACACGTCCACTCAAATACGCATGGGCACATATACATACCACACACCCCATCACACGCCACCACACAGCACCACCACCCCCCCGCCCCCCACCACAGCCCACCCCACCGCACAGCACGCACATGCTCTCACAGCTGGCGCCAGCTCGCAGCGCACCTGACGCGTGGAAGGCACGGTGAAAGAGCGAGCTGCACTGCCACGCGGCAGCATTTGATTCGAATGGATTGGCAGCGGGGAGTGGAGCGGCGCGAGCTGAGAGGCAGTGAGGGGCGGCGTGAAACGCGCGGTGGGGATTGCATTGCGCGGTACGGGAATGGCGGAGGGGATGCGCCGGGCTCAGTGGGGCGACGTGGGGAGAGGCGCGGAGAAGGGATGGCGCGTGGATGGGGTGGGGCGCGGCGCCATGCGTGCCGGCCGCCCTCTCTGCGCCCTCAGCTGCCGCATGGCTGCATGCTGCCGCCCGTTCGCCGCCACACACCGCCCCTGACCGCTCTGCTCTCCACAGCACCTCCGCTGCTGCGACGTGGCTGGTCGAGGCGTGCGTGGAGGAGGCATGCGTGCGCGCGTCCCGTTGACTCTCCTGCGCGCGTGATGGTGCGGCCGTCGCGCATCCGACACCTGCACACGCGGAGAAGGGGAGGGACGAGCCGTCGAGGGCAGTGGGAAGGGAAGGGGAAAGGGATTGCGGAAGGCGAAGGGTGAACGACAAGCGAGGGACGCAGCGCGAAGCGTGTGGCAGAGATGACAGGTGCGGGGAGAGTCAATGCACTGCCGCCTTGCTGCTGTGGCCGTGCAGGACGGGCTCTCGTAGCGCAACGGGCGGCGATCGGCGCGCGAGTGCGCGCTGCGACGACCCACCAGCGCTGTGGCTGCCGCATATCGCCGCGACGCCGCGCGTGGGCAGCGGGAGGCTGGCGAGGCCGCGAGAGCGCGCGTGGCGAAGCATGAGAGGAGCGCTCACGCGGATCGAGAGATGAGCCGCTTTGGCGCTGGTAGCGGAATTAGAGGACGAGAGGGTGGAGTGTGAACGAGGCAGCGAGGACGATCGCACGCACGCGGGTGCGGGCAAGATGGGGAAAGCACAGCCGTGAGGCTTGGGAAAGTGGCGACGCGGACGACTTCTGGAAGGATCCACTTGTTCGGTGCAGGAGCTGAACGCCTTTCACAAAAACCATCGGCTCTCCGTACACCACCATCCCCTCCTGGTTCTGATGTTGTTATAATTGTCTACCCCAAAGCATAGAAAGTTTGTAGTGTATGTACTATGTGTAGAGTGAAATATGCTTGTATGATGAATTCCTTGACATGCTTTTGGTCCTGTTGTATCGCAGTTGCGTCTTGAAGGTTGCACTTGGGCAAGATAGGTAGAAATTGTGTTTCGGTAATCCCTAGAATGCGAGCTCGTGGTTCGGCGATGCGACCCTAGCTCCGCTCGTTCTTCTTCGTCCCGTCGTCTTCCGTCGGCGACACCGGCGCGAACTATCGGCGCGTCGTTGCGCTGCGCGCGAGCGCCATGGACGAGCAGTCGCCTGAGAAGCGCTTCGCGCGGTCTATGCAAATCCTTTCGCCGCCACTGGCGGCCCGATCTAGGTCTGACCGAGATGGTTTGCCTGGCATGGCTTGGTTTGGGTTGACTTGGCTCGGCTTGTTTGTCTGTCTGATTAGTACTTTCTTTAAAACCTCGCCTGCTATTAGGTTTCCGTCATTCCGTTTTTCGTCTGTCTCTCGCGGTATTTTCTCCTTCGTTCCCCTCGCATGTCTGCCAGCTCAGCAGCCCGTCACGCACTGACACCTGGATCCAGCGTGGCGCCGTTCCGCGGCGTGGCGGCCCAAGCGGCTTTCAGCTCCAGCAGCGCGCCGCCGCGCGCCGCCCCGCCGCTCTCGTTGCGGCCGTCTCTGGGCGAAGCGGGAGGGGCGGGCTCCCTCGCGATGCACCACGGCGACGCAGCAGCGGCAGCGCGGGCGGGAGCGGCTGCGTGCCGGCTGTGGGAGCGCAACGACCTGCTGCGGCGGCTGGCGACGTTTAAGTCCACCACGTGGTTCGCCAAGCCGCAGGTGCGCCGCCGCGCTGCTCGCATGCTGCTTTGCTGCACGCACGTGTTGCTCCATACGCGGATGTGTGCGTGCACGGTTCATGCGAGTAAGCATCCATTTGCGTCTCGCGTCCCACCTCTCCTCCTTCCCTCTCCCCTCCCCACGGCAGGCGGCGGGGGCGGTGGCGTGCGCGCGGAGGGGGTGGGTGAACTGCGACGTGGACATGCTGGCGTGCGAGGTGTGCCACGCGCGCCTCAGCTTCTGTGTGCCGCCCACGTGGTCCAGAGCTCAAGGTCAGCTTCTATGTGCCGCCCACGTGGTCCTGAACTCAAGGTCAGCTTCTGTGTGCCGCCCACGTGGTCCGGAGCTGAAGGTCAGCTTCTGTGTGCCGCCCGCTTTCGCTCGTGTTTCTGGTCGCATGCGTGGCCCTCCTCACCCACCTCACCCCCCTTCATATACTCAAATCCCATCTCCCCCATCTCTCCCTCACCCCCCGCCCCCCCGAATCCCTGGGCGGCAGTGGAGCGGGCGGCGACGGAAGTCGCAGGGCGGCTGGAGTCGGCGCACAGGCAGCACTGCGCGTGGCGGGGCAACGAGTGCGACGAGGCGCTGCTGCTCTTCCCCCCCCAGCCGCCCGCCGCGCTGGCCGCGGCCGTGTTTGAGCGCTGCCAGGCGCTGCAGCAGCTGGCGCGCCTGCCCGCGCTGGCGCCCGCAGCGGTGGAGCGCATGCGGCGCTGCAGCCCGCGCGCCCTGGACGCGCTGCTGGCGCTGCCCGCCCTGCCGCTGGGCGCACCGTGGGACGACCCCGTGGGGCGCACAGCCACGCGCGTCACGTCAGACGCCGCTGCTTACATCGAGGTGCGTGCCTTGCCTCTCCGCACTCCCCCTCACGTCAACAACCCTGCCTGTGCGCTCGTCTGTCCCCCACTCTCACACGCCTTGCCCCACCCCACGTCTCCACGGCCCCACGGCTGCACATTGCTCGTGCGTGGGCAGGTGCAGCGCATCATCGCGGTGTGCGGGTGGGAGCCGCGTGCCCTGGGCGTGCAGCCTGACGCGCACGACCCGCCGCACGCCCACCACCGCCACCCGCCTGCACACCCCACCGCCCCTCTGCCCGCCCTGCCCCCCCATGGGCGCGCGCACGTGCCTGCGCGCCCCCCTCCTGGCATCCCTGCGAGCGCGGCGGTGCTGCAGTGCGCGCTGTGCGGCGCTAGCGTGGGCGTGTGGAATTACTCCACGCTGCCCCGCCCCCCCGCCCCCCTCGCCCTCCCCCCCGCCTCGCCCCAGCTCTCCGCCCGCCAGGGGCCACCAGGGGAGGAGGGGGCGAGGGAGCGGGAGGTGCAGGCGGAGAGGGGCAGTGAGGGAGGGGCGGGGAAGGCAGAGGAGGAGCAGCGGGAGGGCGAGAGTGGGGCGCGGAAGAGTCTCCCCCCCGCTCCTGCAGCAGCTGCCATCATTATCGCGCCGGTGGGGGGAATGAGCATCACGAGCCCCCCGCACAGGGCGGGGCTGGGCGCAGGGGGCTTGATAAGGGGGCGGTGGGCAGTGTCCCAGAGGCAGGGGGGCGCGGGGGTGGCGGAAGGGATGGGGGAGGGCTCGGAGGAAGGGGTGGGGGGAGCGAAGGAAGGGGATAGGGTAGAGGGGGAAGCGGAGGGAGGTGCAGGGGCAGAGGGCACGGAGAGGGACATGGGACCACAGGTGGTCACTTCGCCCAGGCGGGTGCATGGTCGGCGGGAAGGGGAGGAGGCGATGGAAGAGCAAGAAATCGCTGCCCCGCTTGCCGTTGCATCGGCTGCCCCTGTTCTGCCTGTTGCCGATGCTGCTACCCCTGCTACTGCCACTGCTGTGTCTGCTGGTGGTGCCGGTGGTGGTGTGGGTAGGAGAGCGGCAGCAGGCAGCATGGGCGCGCCTGCCTCTGTGGTGAGGAGGCGGAAGCAGGGGATGGAGGCGGGGGGGGCGACAGCAGGTGTTGAGGCGGAGGCTGTGCGCCCTGCTGCCCCCGTGGCAGCAGCGCTGTCAAATGTAGGCAGCGCCACGCCACTCGGAGCTGCCTCCGCTGCTGCCCCACCACCGCCTTCCGAGCACCGCCCACCATCGCCAGCAGCTCCAGCAGGAGGAGGTGCAGCAGGGGGAGCACCAGCGGGTGCAGCAGGGGGAGCGGGCGGGGTGGCACTGGACCTGGGTCTGACCATCGCTGGCGGCCTCCCTCCCACGCACCTCTCCTCTTCGCCCCCTCCGCGCCCCTTCGGCTCTGCCTCCGCCCTCCCCCTCTTTGGCGCCGGCCTGCCCATTCCTGGCTGCCACCTCAGCGGGCCTGCCGGCGCCAGTCTGGGGGCGGGCGGCAAGGCAGGCGCAGGGGGAGGAGGGGGAGGGGGAGGGGGAGTGGAAGGGGGCGGGGGAGGGGAACCAGCAGGGAGAGTTGGGGTAGAGGGGGAAGGGGGTGGAGAGGGTGGGGGAGAGGGAGGGGGCGTGGGCGCAGAGGGGTTTGGGCAGTGTTTGGGCGAGGTGAGCTTTGGGCGGGGGGGCGTGGCGGTGCTGCCGATGAACAGTGCGGAGGGCGTGGTGGCGGAGATGGAGGAGGTGTCCTCCGAGGAGGCCGAGGTCGAGGGCTCTCTGCGCGCCCGCGCCGCCCGCGCCAGGGGGGACCCTCGCCGCGCCGCCGGCAGCAAGGGTGCGCAAGAGGGCGAGGCGGAGGGGCCAGCGGGCGGGCGCGCAGGCAGGGGGGCGTGGGGCAAGGAGGGGGGGGATGAGAACGAGAGGATGGAGGGGGGCGATGAGAGTGGAAGGGGGGAGGGGTGTGGGGAGACTCAGCGGCTGGAGGGGGGCAATGAGACCGGCAACGAGGGGGAGGGCGCGGGGGCAGCAGTGGCAGCACAGCAGAGCCGGCACGAGGGGGCTAGACCTGACATCATTGCGTGCGTGAGCACGGGTCCCACGCAGGGCAGCAGCATGCAGGGCGGTGGCGGTGGCGGGGAGGGCGGTGGCAGGGGTCGTGTGGAGCAGCAGTTGTCGGCAGCGGCGTTTCTTGTGCCGTCCACACGTGCACCGGCTGCCAGCACGGCAGGAAGGGGAGGTGTAAGTGGGGAAGAAGGTGTGCCTGGAGGTGTGGCGTCAGCGGCAGGCAGTGGGGCAGTGGGGTGTAGTGCGGTGGGGCACGGGGATGGCACACAGCAGCAGCGGAGCAGGGCGGTTGAGGGGCAGGGGAGGCGAGGGCGGGCGGCAGAGGGCAGGGCGGGCGGCAGTGAGTTCCTGGAGCCGCCTCAGAAACGGCGCCACGTGGACGCGTCCTCCTCCCACGCGCCCCGCCCCCCTGCCTCGCGCACTGCCTTGGGCGTGGGGCCACGAGGCAAGGCTGCGGGCGCAGGGGGAGGAGGGGCTGGGAGAGGGGTGGTTGGAGGGAAGGGGGCGGGGGGCAAGGTTGGGGAAGCCCTGGGTGCTGCTGCTGCGTCTCCTGCTGCTGCTGCTGGCTCTGCTGCTCCTCTTCCTCCTGCTGCTGCTGGCGCTGGTGCTGCTGTTGAGGTTGCTGCTGCTGCGGGGGCTGGCGCTGGTGCTGGTGCTGGCGGCGGCGCAGCAGGGGCAGGGGCAGGGGCGTTGGGCGGGGTGGGGGGCGAGTGGGCGCGGGCGTCGTCGGTGTATGCGACGAACACGGACTTCAGTGAGCGCGATGACACCAGCGCTGACAGCGTTGACAACCTGCCGCCGCCCCTCCACCCGCACGCCCAGGGGGCAGCGCAGGGGGGGGTGGCGGGGGCGGGAGGGCAGGGGGGCGAGGCATCCAATGCCGCGGACCAATCGGAGTGATGCGCTGGGCAGTCGGGTCGGTATGCGCGCCTATAATGGGCGAACCAGGGAGAGTTCGGGCGCTCAAATAGTGCAAACCACATGGAATGAAAGGGAGCCACTCGTTGCGGTTGTGGAAAATAGTATAATCTCGAGGACCAGCAAAAAAAAAGAGGCATCCAATGCAGCGGACCAATCGGAGTGATGCGCTGGGCAGTCGGGTCGGTATGCGCGCCTATAATGGGCGATCCAGGGAGAGTTCGGGCGCTCAAATAGTGCAAACCACATGGAATGAAATGGAGCCACTCGTTGCGGTTGCGGAAAATAGTATAATCTCGAGGACCAGCAAAAAAAAAGAGGCATCCAAAGCAGCGGACCAATCAAAGTGATGCGCTGGGCAGTCGGGTCAGTATGCGCGCCTATAATGGGCGATCCAGGGAGAGTTCGGGCGCTCAAATAGTGCAAACCACATGGAATGAAATGGAGCCGCTCGTTGCGGTTGCGGAAAATAGTATAATCTAGAGGACCAGCAAAAAAAAAGAGGCATCCAAAGCAGCGGACCAATCAAAGTGATGCGCTGGGCAGTCGGGTCAGTATGCGCGCCTATAATGGGCGATCCAGGGAGAGTTCGGGCGCTCAAATAGTGCAAACCACATGGAATGAAATGGAGCCACTCGTTGCGGTTGCGGAAAATAGTATAATCTAGAGGACCAGCAAAAAAAGCGAGGCATCCAATGCAGCGGACCAATCAAAGTGATGCGCTGGGCAGTCGGGTCAGTATGCGCGCCTATAATGGGCGATCCAGGGAGAGTTCGGGCGCTCAAATAGTGCAAACCACATGGAATGAAATGGAGCCGCTCGTTGGGGTTGCAGAAAATAGTATGATCTCGAGGACCAGCAAAAACAAAGAGGCATCCAATGCAGCGGACGAATCGGAGTGATGCGCTGGGCTGTCGGGTCAGTATGCGCGCCTATAATGGGCGATCCAGGGAGAGTTCGGGCGCTCAAATAGTGCAAACCACGTGGAATGAAATGGAGCCACTCGTTGGGGTTGCGGAAACTAGTCTAATCTAGAGGACCAGCAAAAACAAAGAGGCATCCAATGCAGCGGACCAATCAAAGTGATGCGCTGGGCAGTCGGGTCAGTATGCGCGCCTATAATGGGCGAACCAGGGAGAGTTCGGGCGCTCAAATAGTGCAAACCACTTGGAATGAAATGGAGCCGCTCTTTGCGGTTGTGGAAAATAGTATAATCTACAGGACCAGCAAAAAAAGCGAGGCATCCAATGCAGCGGACCAATCAAAGTGATGCGCTGGGCAGTCGGGTCAGTATGCGCGCCTATAATGGGCGATCCAGGGAGAGTTCGGGCGTTCAAATAGTGCAAACCACATGGAATGAAATGGAGCCGCTCGTTGCGGTTGCGGAAAATAGTATAATCTACAGGACCAGCAAAAAAAGCGAGGCATCCAATGCAGCGGACCAATCAAAGTGATGCGCTGGGCAGTCGGGTCAGTATGCGCGCCTATAATGGGCGATCCAGGGAGAGTTCGGGCGCTCAAATAGTGCAAACCACATGGAATGAAATGGAGCCACTCGTTGCGGTTGCGGAAAATAGTATAATCTCGAGGACCAGCAAAAAAAGCGAGGCATCCAATGCAGCGGACCAATCAAAGTGATGCGCTGGGCAGTCGGGTCAGTATGCGCGCCTATAATGGGCGATCCAGGGAGAGTTCGGGCGCTCAAATAGTGCAAACCACATGGATTGAAAGGGAGCCGGTCGTTGCGGTTGCGGAAAATAGTATAATCTCGAGGACCAGCAAAAAAAGCGAGGCATCCAATGCAGCGGACGAATCGGAGTGATGCGCTGGGCAGTCGGGTCAGTATGCGCGCCTATAATGGGCGATCCAGGGAGAGTTCGGGCGCTCAAATAGTGCAAACCACATGGAATGAAATGGAGCCGCTCGTTGGGGTTGCGGAAAATAGTATGATCTCGAGGACCAGCAAAAACAAAGAGGCATCCAATGCAGCGGACGAATCGGAGTGATGCGCTGGGCTGTCGGGTCAGTATGCGCGCCTATAATGGGCGATCCAGGGAGAGTTCGGGCGCTCAAATAGTGCAAACCACGTGGAATGAAATGGAGCCGCTCGTTGGGGTTGCGGAAACTAGTCTAATCTCGAGGACCAGCAAAAACAAAGAGGCATCCAATGCAGCGGACGAATCAAAGTGATGCGCTGGGCTGTCGGGTCAGTATGCGCGCCTATAATGGGCGAACCAGGGAGAGTTCGGGCGCTCAAATAGTGCAAACCACGTGGAATGAAATGGAGCCGCTCTTTGGGGTTGCGGAAAATAGTATAATCTAGAGGACCAGCAAAAAAAGCGAGGCATCCAATGCAGCGGACCAATCGGAGTGATGCGCTGGGCAGTCGGGTCAGTATGCGCGCCTATAATGGGCGATCCAGGGAGAGTTCAGGCGTTCAAATAGTGCAAACCACATGGAATGAAATGGAGCCACTCGTTGCGGTTGCGGAAAATAGTATAATCTACAGGACCAGCAAAAAAAGCGAGGCATCCAATGCAGCGGACCAATCGGAGTGATGCGCTGGGCAGTCGGGTCAGTATGCGCGCCTATAATGGGCGATCCAGGGAGAGTTCGGGCGTTCAAATAGTGCAAACCACATGGAATGAAATGGAGCCACTCGTTGCGGTTGCGGAAAATAGTCTAATCTACAGGACCAGCAAAAAAAGCGAGGCATCCAATGCAGCGGACGAATCGGAGTGATGCGCTGGGCAGTCGGGTCAGTATGCGCGCCTATAATGGGCGATCCAGGGAGAGTTCGGGCGCTCAAATAGTGCAAACCACATGGATTGAAAGGGAGCCGCTCGTTGCGGTTGCGGAAAATAGTATGATCTCGAGGACCAGCAAAAAAAAAGAGGCATCCAATGCAGCGGACGAATCGGAGTGATGCGCTGGGCAGTCGGGTCAGTATGCGCGCCTATAATGGGCGATCCTGGGAGAGTTCGGGCGCTCAAATAGTGCAAACCACATGGAATGAAATGGAGCCGCTCGTTGGGGTTGCGGAAAATAGTATGATCTCGAGGACCAGCAAAAACAAAGAGGCATCCAATGCAGCGGACCAATCGGAGTGATGCGCTGGGCTGTCGGGTCAGTATGCGCGCCTATAATGGGCGATCCAGGAAGAGTTCGGGCGCTCAAATAGTGCAAACCACGTGGAATGAAATGGAGCCGCTCGTTGGGGTTGCGGAAACTAGTATAATCTAGAGGACCAGCAAAAACAAAGAGGCATCCAATGCAGCGGACCAATCAAAGTGATGCGCTGGGCAGTCGGGTCAGTATACGCGCCTATAATGGGCGAACCAGGGAGAGTTCGGACGCTCAAATAGTGCAAACCACTTGGAATGAAATGGAGCCGCTCTTTGCGGTTGCGGAAAATAGTATAATCTCGAGGACCAGCAAAAAAAAAGAGGCATCCAATGCAGCGGACCAATCGGAGTGATGCGCTGGGCAGTCGGGTCAGTATGCGCGCCTATAATGGGCGATCCAGGGAGAGTTCGGGCGCTCAAATAGTGCAAACCACATGGAATGAAATGGAGCCACTCGTTGCGGTTGCGGAAAATAGGATAATCTAGAGGACCAGCAAAAAAAGCGAGGCATCCAATGCAGCGGACCAATCAAAGTGATGCGCTGGGCAGTCGGGTCAGTATGCGCGCCTATAATGGGCGATCCAGGGAGAGTTCGGGCGTTCAAATAGTGCAAACCACATGGAATGAAATGGAGCCACTCGTTGCGGTTGCGGAAAATAGTCTAATCTACAGGACCAGCAAAAAAAGCGAGGCATCCAATGCAGCGGACCAATCAAAGTGATGCGCTGGGCAGTCGGGTCAGTATGCGCGCCTATAATGGGCGATCCAGGGAGAGTTCGGGCGCTCAAATAGTGCAAACCACATGGATTGAAAGGGAGCCGCTCGTTGCGGTTGTGGAAAATAGTATAATCTCGAGGACCAGCAAAAAAAAAGAGGCATCCAATGCAGCGGACCAATCGGAGTGATGCGCTGGGCAGTCGGGTCAGTATGCGCGCCTATAATGGGCGATCCAGGGAGAGTTCGGGCGCTCAAATAGTGCAAACCACGTGGAATGAAATGGAGCCGCTCGTTGCGGTTGCGGAAAATAGTATAATCTCGAGGACCAGCAAAAACAAAGAGGCATCCAATGCAGCGGACCAATCGGAGTGATGCGCTGGGCTGTCGGGTCAGTATGCGCGCCTATAATGGGCGATCCAGGGAGAGTTCGGGCGCTCAAATAGTGCAAACCACGTGGAATGAAATGGAGCCGCTCGTTGCGGTTGCGGAAACTAGTCTAATCTAGAGGACCAGCAAAAACAAAGAGGCATCCAATGCAGCGGACCAATCAAAGTGATGCGCTGGGCAGTCGGGTCGGTATGCGCGCCTATAATGGGCGATCCAGGGAGAGTTCGGGCGCTCAAATAGTGCAAACCACATGGATTGAAAGGGAGCCACTCGTTGCGGTTGCGGAAAATAGTATAATCTCGAGGACCAGCAAAAAAAGCGAGGCATCCAATGCAGCGGACCAATCAAAGTGATGCGCTGGGCAGTCGGGTCGGTATGCGCGCCTATAATGGGCGATCCAGGGAGAGTTCGGGCGCTCAAATAGTGCAAACCACATGGAATGAAATGGAGCCACTCGTTGCGGTTGCGGAAAATAGTATAATCTAGAGGACCAGCAAAAAAAGCGAGGCATCCAATGCAGCGGACCAATCAAAGTGATGCGCTGGGCAGTCGGGTCGGTATGCGCGCCTATAATGGGCGATCCAGGGAGAGTTCGGGCGCTCAAATAGTGCAAACCACATGGAATGAAATGGAGCCACTCGTTGCGGTTGCGGAAAATAGTATAATCTAGAGGACTAGCAAAAAAAAAGAGGCATCCAATGCAGCGGACCAATCAAAGGGATGCGCTGGGCAGTCGGGTCAGTATGCGCGCCT